CAAACAAGTGAAATTGCTCTGCGGGCAAGGAGCCATTTACATTAAAATGAAAAGTGAACTGAACTGTATAATATGTGATGACGATGGGAATAGCTTAATCGAAGATGATGATTTGCCAGGTAAATTTTGTTGTGTTTTTAAAATTTTTAAGGCAAAGTTTTAAAACTGGGTTGTTATTAAGAGTAATTTATTGTAACTTGTTTTTCCTTGGCCTCATTGTGACCATTTGTCCATGGCAACAACCTAATTTTGACATAATCTAGGGAGGGCCACAGGTTTGTCAGCCTATGACTGTAATGTGTTTTACCCTTGTTAAATAAAGTTAGTTAGTTATTTACATCAAAACTTTCTTCACATCTTAATCAACTTTTTAATTGTAGTAAAAATTCTCCTGGTTATTTGTTTTTCTCACAGTGGAAAGTGTCGTTAAACATTTACAGAACCAAAAAAGTCAGTTCTTTTCATTCTTATACATATATTTTTTTGTGCAGAAATGCTTAGTCAACAAACTCCTGAACAACAGAAACAAACAGGAATGCAATCAGTATCCACCTTTGAAGAGAGCAGTACAGGAATTGAGTCAAAAAGGGAGAAGACAGAACCTGATTACACTGAAAATCAGTCTGTGGATCTTCTGGCCAAGGATTGTGTAAATTACTGTAAATCTAATGGTATTGAAAATCCTGCTGAAATTTTGCACTATGCACAAAGTCTGATTGTGACTGGGAGACCACTGGATGTGCAAGATGTAACTGTAAATCTGGAAGGTGAAACCAACTTCATCTTAATCAATCGACAAGATGTTTTGAGATCAGCTATGGAAGAAGTGCAATTTTTAAAGGACCCCAGACTAACACTTGCAGTTGGATTTTATGGTGAGAGTGCTGAGGATTATGGTGGTCCACGGAAAGAGTTCTTTCGCCTGTGTTTACGAGAGATCAAAGCTAAGTACTTTGACAATGGCCTCAAAGACCATCTTTCTAATGACTATTCAACCATTGGGTTAATAATGGTCCTTAGCACTTTGCAGAATGGCAGTATCCCTAGATTTTTAAAAGAAGATCATCTCCAGGCCCTTTTTTCTTCTGGAGAGCCATCAAATCCTTGTATCTCAAAGCTTCGCTTTGGCTTTAAAACCCTGGGGCTTTATCAAATAGGAAATGGTATACCTAACTTCCTTCACCTTTTCAGACCTTCAGAAAGTTCAGCCTTGTCAAGAAGAAAGCTGATTGTCCTCCTCCCACCAAATTTCTCTGAAGGGGGTAGCAATGTACACCGTTTCGAATCAGAAATTTATGATTTGTTTTCTAAATACACCAGGCTAGCAGCAAGTGGGCAAAGGGGGTCAATCACCCTGGGACATATACTTCAGTTTGTCACTGGTACTGATGAAGAGCCCCCACTTGGGTTTGGTGTTGCACCTTGTATAGAATTTGTTGAGGCAGCAAGCCATGGCACAAACTCTCACACAGAATGCCCATTTCTACCTACTGCAAACACTTGTGCAAATATATTGTATTTACCAAGACGTGCAAAGGATGTATTGCTGCCAAGTGAGGAACAACTCTTCAATCTTTATGATTTAGCCTTTGCAAATGCATTTTTTGGAAATCTGTAAATTTAGATTCTATTAAGTTGTGAATACAATGATTTCTAGCTCATCGTTTTGGTAAATGTTTACAAGTGAAACAAGTGATGAAACATCACTTCCAGATGTTTTGACCATATGGCACATAGTTGAGATGGTGGGCAAAGGGGTGCTACATTTAAAGGCGTTATGTTTTGCTGGGCTTGGCCAATATCTTGGGTATCATTTCAACAATGGACTCTAAAGACTGGGCCTTAATTGTTGTATTTCCAGCTGAAATTGTGTAAGATGTTTAAATTTATATTTTAAATGTATATTAAAACATGTTGAGTTGCAAAAATTGCTTTCTTTGGACCACTTGCATTATAAAAAGGTAATGTTTAGTGGTACCTTATAATTGTGCTGCACAAGGATTTGTCACAAATAACAATTCAACAGTTGATTTAAAATGGGGTTTTATCTTAAGAATTGTGAAGTGTTTCAGTCTGTGCTAAAAGTATTTTCAGGAGCCAATGCTCATTCAGTCATTGCACTCATAACAATTCATGGGAAAGAATGAAGTACTCAGTAAAAAAATTGATTACTAAGTTGTGCAATGGTTTCTAGAAAATGGGGGAGGACATAAGTTGTGTTTTATTTGTGAATTAGCTGTCTGTGTCTTTTAGCAAAGACTTAAAAATTGAAGAAAATCTTCAACAAAAATACTTTTTTAATTTGTTGCTAGACACAAGAACTTTCACTGCTTGATTGTAGCATTGTATCTGTTGAAATGTGAGGATCATACCTGTGCTATCAAAAATAGACAGCTGCTTAAATAAGTAAAAGAGTTTCTGTTTTAAGGTACCTGAATAAAGTTGAAGTTTAAGTCATCTTTTATACTGGTGTTGAATACTGAATTTCTTTGACAATTAGGTAACCATATCAAATCCTGTTGCATGTTCATTTTGCATTTGATTAATATTGACACTCAATTGTTAACTTTACTGTCTGCACATCCCACGCAGCAACTGAAGATGGCCACATGATTTACCAAAAAGGTATAGTGTTATTAACAGTTTTCAACGCTCTCCTTTACTATCTGGTGAATGTTAGTGTAGATATCTATGCCCATTTGCATCGATGACATGAATGGATCGATCTGCTCAAGAACTTTGGCTTGAACTGACTGATGTTCAACTGGTAATGTCACTGGAGGAACAACAACATTGTTGTTGCTATCTTCAAATGGAGATGGCCCATCTGGGTCAACACCATAGAACTCCAGGTCATCAGGATCCTCATCTAATTGCCCATGTACCAAGGGGTTGTCTTCATTTAACATGCCATTGACCCACATCTGATATGGGGACCAATGGTTTGCTGTCCTTACCTTGTGATGGTTGAAGGCCTCCATATATTCGTGAAGCGCAAGGTTTATTCTTGGGAGGAATGTCAAATGTAGCGCAAACATATCCGTTGCATTGTCAACGTTAAGCAGGCCTGTATCCTCCATTGCGTAAAACACGTAGTAGAAAAGATGACACACACACCTGAAGACGTCCCTCCAGAGTCTTTCAATTCTCTGATTTCTTGTGGAGGGACCGGCAATGAAACTCCCTCTACCTTCACCTCTTGCTTCCACCATAGCATCACAAACTAATACATTTTCCACACCATAATCCACACGAATACGTGATGGCCACAACCCATCTTTTTCAATTGCTTTCAGAAAGAGTTCCAGAACAGTTTGTGAAAGATTATTATTACTACATCTAAGAAACACAACTCTTCTAGAGAAACCATCCATGCATCCGTGGATTACAAAACCCCAGCGAATGAGAGAATGATGACCATCTAAATGCCACAGAGAATTTGGCCATGGCACGGAGTATTGCCTACGAGAAATAACCATTCCCCACCTCAAGGCAGTATTCGCTGGATCCACCCTTGCTAAACACTCGCGAATTCTTCTTCTTTGAATCCTCAGTCCAAGTGACTTAAGGTACCCGGCTAAATATGTTCGCCCGGTTGTTAATCCATGACGAGCAATATACTCTAAAAGTAATTCATCCAATTCTGTATCCGGCAACAAACTAAAATTCGCCGTGCTTTGCAAGCCATATGATTGTACTCTACGATAAATTGTCCAACGAGACACACCAAACAACAAAGAAATTTTTTCCAATGAAAATCCAAGTCCGAGAAGATCTTCTAACGTGTCAGGAGATATAAGGAACTGTGGTCTCCCAGGATTTCCCGTTCTGAGAATTTTACATTTATGTCGAGAAATTGATGAAGGTTTTACTGCTAGAGTTTTGAGATGATTTTCAATAGCCCGTAGTACTTCTGCAAACGCAGTAGCTAGAGATTCCCACTCGATCCGATCTTGCTCAATGTCAGTTAAGGCAATAGAACTCAAAAGACTAACGGTTCGATCGAGAACTACAGATTGTGCTTGCACGTCACTGATATCCGTTTCACTATAATGTATACATTGCTCTGTTCTATCGAGCACTGACGATAAAAATTCAGGTAAGTCTTTTTCCACGTCAAATTCTGGCTCTACGTCCGCCATTATGCTAGTTAAATTTACCGCGCGAAAACATAAAGCCTTAAAGTTCCCGTATGCTAGTTATCATTTCCGGTTACTAACCGGAAGCAATTCTGAATGTTTGTTTTTTTCATTGAATTGAAATTGAATTTTCATTGAAATGAACTTGAATTTTCATTGAATTGAACTTGAAATTCATTGAATTGAAATTGAATTGAAATTGAATTTTCACTGAATTGAACTTGAATTTCATTGAATTGAACTTGAATTTCACTGAATTGAACTTGAATTTTCATTGAATTTTCATTGAATTTTCATTGAATTGAAATTGAATTTCACTGAATTGAACTTGAATTTTCATTGAATTTTCATTGAATTGAACTTGAATTTCATTGAATTGAACTTGAATCTCATTGAATTGAAATTGAATTTCATTGAATTGAAATTGAATTGAAATTGAATTTCATTGAATTGAACTTGAATCTCATTGAATTGAAATTGAATTTTAGTATTGAATATTGCTACAATTGGCTTGCCATAGGTTGTCATATTTTCAAACTAATAGCTCACAGGACGTGGCAAGAGCCCAATCAAATCGAGATTGCGTTTCGGTGTTAATGAAGATGCTTTCATTTGAATGTCGAAGGAACCCAGGATTGTATCGGTCTTGCTGTATGTTACTGGTATTGAAATTTGTGTCACCCTCTCGACCACACAGATGCAAAACGAAAACAATTCGTTAATGACCCACTTTACACTTTGGTGCTTAGTGAAGCACCAATAAATCAAAAGGCGCTCGATGGCTTTAATCCTTCAACGAAGAAAGGATCCTTGTAAAGTTATCATGACTCGGGAAAAGATCGTACTCTTACTCGTCATTACCTGAAACTGCTCGGGACCTGTTAAGGAGTATTCCACCGAGTACCACTGATCTCCTCTATTACCGTCGACGGAAAACACAACACTGTTACCCGATGCTGAATTTTTGTAAACCCTCAGGGATCCAATGTTAACACCCAGCATGTGGTAATGCATACGGAGACAATAAGGTCCCTTCAGCCGGGGAGACAGCAGGACAGCTCTGTCGCCTTTTCTACGAGGCGTGGATGTCTCGATGTAAACGTAATAACCTGTGTGAAAACAAAGGTCAGCAGGGGCCGACTACCGACCAAGTTATGACTAAGTTTTGTTACAAAATCGGCCAATAATCTACGAATCTGATAGATCCTGCAGCGGGGATCTGAGAATGCCGCAGAATTAACGAATGAAGAGATTCAAAGCACTATTTTACTACCCCTCTGGCTTGCCGAATCTCTATCAGGAGGAAGCCCATAAAAATAGTATAATAATATAGCTGACCTTTTCCAGACATATCTGTGCCTGGTCCAGTCCCACCGGTACTTGTAGGACCTTTATGGAGGGTCCAGTCAAACTGGTCTCCAGTCGCTTGAGTTAAGTCGCACAGCGAACCACTGTCAAAGTTACAGTACTCTATGGAAGAAAAAGGACTGACATCAATTAACGGACATCACTCCTATCATCAATCCTAGTAAGAAGACAACTGCCACTGTGACATTTCCTGATGCTATGATCTCACACTCATTACCGTTAATCAAGGTTCGATTTTTCATACGACACATATTGGTGCGATTACCCAAGATCTAATCTTAATCGGAGTTTGACACGATTTCCGTTACGTGAAGCAACGACAAATTTGAGCTGTAGCATATCAAAACTTTTCTATTGTAACAGACTACGTACCTTGTGTGACTAAAGGAGTAGTTTTGATAGTCGTTGGGGGCTGGGTGGAGACTTTAAATTGATTGCAACTCCCTGGTTTTAATCTGATTTCATCTAGAGCAATATCTCCAGTGTTACCAATGCCTCTCTCTGCTTCAAAACCTAGCTGTAAAATTAGAAAAAAAGATGATGACTGATTAGATGAGAAAAAAGCTGCACAACTACCCATCTACCTTCCCCTTCCTCCCTAGAAAAGCATGCAAATTTAGAACAAAATATAAATAAAAAATTGAATGAAAACGTTAAAATAGATTAGGTTTTATCCGCATTTCTTGCTATACTACACTTTTTGATTAAGATTGGCCACTTTCTTTACAATTTTGATTGGCTTTTGATGGACTTTTGTGTAGTCAGTTGAACAATTACTTTAATTTTTTAATATTCAGTCTAGACGAATGAAGACGTGCCAGATGTCCCTTAAGGCCAAAGGAAATGATACCCTAAAACTCATCACATTAGATGAAGCAAATATTTCTTAGTCTTAAATGTCAGGCACAAACCAAATTCAAGAAGTATTATATATTTATCAGCAATGCTACCTAAAGCTGTAAACCATTTAAGATGGCTCTGAACCTAATAACAGTTTTTAGAGGGAGGACTCTTGATGTTTGGATGTGATTCTAGATTTTATTGTAATCAGTAACGAGTAATGGGTATCACCTAATTCTTTTTTGAGTCACAGGCATCAACAGCTAGAATCAGTAGTATTTTAAAGAGACTGTAGTGTTACTGTGGTAACTTTCTATATCAGATAAATGATCCAATCATGTTTTAGTAACATTGGGCATTTTTTCAGCACTTTTTGTCAAGAAACAATTTTGGTCTAATCGATATATTAAAAAATTTATGTCCAAAGATTACAAGACTGTTTTGGACCACCTCAAGCTGTCATTTTGATTTAGTTGTCAACATTAAGGGAAGTCCTGAAAACGTACCTGGTAGGCATGTTTACCCCAATTGTCGATTTCGGCTTTATGCCATTTTTGTCCCTGGTCGCCTGTGTAGGAAAACTGTTTGAACCTTCGTGCGCCCAAAACAAGAAGGACATGTAGAGCTCCCATCTGAGCTCCGTGCATATAATAATAAAACTGAAGGCAGTAGCTACCGATCAGCTTCGGCGAGAGAAGCTGGGCGCGGTCTCCATTTTGACGCGGAAATGAAGCTTCGGCATAGATGTAGTAGCCTGAGGAAAAAACAAAAGGCATAACTCAAGTTATTATGAAGCACTAGGACAGAATCTTAGGTAACACAGTGGTCACACGAGTTACTATTATCTGCACAAGCTGGTAACTAATGGCGTTTTAAAAGCAAATACCTTTTTTGATAAAGCTCAAAACAGATTGGTAAATCAACAGGATACTCCTACTTTAATAAGCTTTGTGTTAAAAAAGACTCGAGTTTTCCTTTTCCAACCTTTTGTTTCCTTTTACAGATTTTTATATCCATTTCAATTTTTCTTTCGCTTCTTTTACGTGGCAGCAGGTGTTTCTTAGGTTTTCCTGTCAAAGTTTGCGCAGGAAATTGTCGTGTTGAATTGAGGCTCTGAGCATGGCCGATCTTTGACCGCTGTGTTCGCTTACCCGAGTAGCATGAAAAGTCTGCAGAGTGTTCTCAGGTTCACAGCCCGAAAATTAATTCTCAATCAAACAAAAAGGTCACCAATACGCCAAAAAAAAGAAAAAAGAACGGAAAAATCTCATAACAAATGTTTGCTTTTTTTCTGAAGATGCCGTGATGCGAGAGCTATTTGCCAACCTGTAGAAGAAACATCAGATCTCGGGCCAGTCTGCGGCGCGCTTGGGGTGTTCCCTTTGTTCAGAACCCAGTCAAACTCGTCAGCAGTAGTCTGGGTAAACTGACAAAAAGTCCTTGAATCAAAGTTGCAGTACACTAGAAAATATCCACACAAGAAGTTTAGTCTCTAAGGGGGAGGTGGGGAAGGGAGGGGTGGGTAGATGACTGGGTGGGGAGGTAATTCATACGGTGACGTTATGACTGAATACCCATGCTTACCTTCTCCACGAGTAGGTGGCTCAGGTGTGGTCTTTTGTTTGACCGGCGTTTTGATGACAGGTGGAGCAGGGGTGCCCGGTGATGCGTTGCATTTTCCAGGGACAAGTTTAATTTCATCTAAAGCAATAGCACCTCGGTAGCCATTGCCACGGACAGCCTCGAATGCAAGCTGCAACGTATACAAAAATTATCGGAAAAACGCGTGTTAAGACAGTTGCAAAAGAGATCAATATAAATGATCATAACTCAATCATTTCTTAAACCGCAGTTCACATACATGATTTTCATATGATCAGTCATTTATCCATCACTCCGCGTTAGTCATGGGTTCAAATCCCGTACAGGCCTGAATTTCTTTCAGGCCGTTTTTTCACGACTCCTAAGTAGTGTTCATTCATGCGAAGATCGCTCTTGTATTTAGAGATCGATATATTTATCATAAACTTGAGATGATGCTAGATTTTGTTCTTCTCTATCGTCGTGTTCATCGATCTACGTTACAAGTATCAAATGAAATAATAAACATATCAGATCAGCTATATTAATTCGTCACAGTTTTGAAAAAAGTAGAAAAATATTCCACCAATAGACTACGAACAGTTAATCATGCGAGTGAAAAATCAAAATTAGCGAAACAAAAGAGGGGAGGTGTGGGCACCTTGCGGAGCCCAGGGAGTGAGTTGCACGAATATTATCACCATCGACGACGTCGGATAAAGTTTACAATTTTATTATTAAGTTATCATTTTATCCCAATGTTCTTCTTCAGATGTTAGATTTCAAGGGTTGTCATATTTTCAAACTAATAGCTCACAGGACGTGGCAAGAGCCCAATCAAATCGAGATTGCGTTTCGGTGTTAATGAAGATGCTTTCATTTGAATGTCGAAGGAACCCAGGATTGTATCGGTCTTGCTGTATGTTACTGGTATTGAAATTTGTGTCACCCTCTCGACCACACAGATGCAAAACGAAAACAATTCGTTAATGACCCACTTCACACTTTGGTGCTTAGTGAAGCACCAATAAATCAAAAGGCGCTCGATGGCTTTAATCCTTCAACAAAGAAAGGATCCTTGTAAAGCTATCATGACTCGGGAAAAGATCGTACTCTTACTCATCATTACCTGAAACTGCTCGGGACCTGTTAAGGAGTATTCCGCCGAGTACCACTGATCTCCTCTATTACCGTCGACGGAAAACACAACACTGTTACCCGATGCTGAATTTTTGTAAACCCTCAGGGATCCAATGTTAACACCCAGCATGTGGTAATGCATACGGAGACAATAAGGTCCCTTCAGCCGGGGAGACAGCAGGACAGCTCTGTCGCCTTTTCTACGAGGCGTGGATGTCTCGATGTAAACGTAATAACCTGTGTGAAAACAAAAGTCAGCAGGGGCCGACTACCGACCAAGTTATGACTAAGTTTTGTTACAAAATCGGCCAATAATCTACGAATCTGATAGATCCTGCAGCGAAAATCTGAGAATGCCGCAGAATTAATGAAAGAAGATATTCAAAGCACTATTTTACTACCCTTCTGGCTTGCCGAATCTCCACCAGGAGGAAGCCCATAAAAATAGAATAATCATATAACTGACCTTTTCCAGACATATCTGTTCCCGGTCCAGTCCCACCGGTACTTGTAGGACCTTTATGGAGGGTCCAGTCAAACTGGTCTCCAGTCGCTTGAGTTAAGTCGCACAGCGAACCACTGTCAAAGTTACAGTACTCTATGGAAGAAAAAGGACTGACATCAATTAACGGACATCACTCTAATCCTAGTAAGAAGACAACTGCCACTGTGACATTTCCTGATGCTATGATCTCACACTCATTACCGTTAATCAAGGTTCGATTTTTCATACGACACATATTGGTGCGATTACCCAAGATCTAATCTTAATCGGAGTTTGACACGATTTCCGTTACGTGAAGCAACGACCAATTTTAGCTGTAGCATATCAAAACTTTTCTATCGTAACAGACTACGTACCTTGTGTGACTAAAGGAGTAGTTTTGATAGTCGTTGGGGGCTGGGTGGAGACTTTAAATTGATTGCAACTCCCTGGTTTTAATCTGATTTCATCTAGAGCAATATCTCCAGTGTTACCAATGCCTCTCTCTGCTTCAAAACCTAGCTGTAAAATTAGAAAAAAAGATGATGACTGATTAGATGAGAAAAAAGCTGCACAACTACCCATCTACCTTCCCCTTCCTCCCTAGAAAAGCATGCAAATTTAGAACAAAATATAAATAAAAAATTGAATGAAAACGTTAAAATAGATTAGGTTTTATCCGCATTTCTTGCTATACTACACTTTTTGATTAAGATTGGCCACTTTCTTTACAATTTTGATTGGCTTTTGATGGACTTTTGTGTAGTCAGTTGAACAATTACTTTAATTTTTTAATATTCAGTCTAGACGAATGAAGACGTGCCAGATGTCCCTTAAGGCCAAAGGAAATGATACCCTAAAACTCATCACATTAGATGAAGCAAATATTTCTTAGTCTTAAATGTCAGGCACAAACCAAATTCAAGAAGTATTATATATTTATCAACAATGCTACCTAAAGCTGTAAACCATTTAAGATGGCTCTGAACCTAATAACAGTATTTAGAGGGAGGACACTTGATGTTTGGATGTGATTCTAGATTTTATTGTAATCAGTAACGAGTAATGGGTATCACCTAATTCTTTTTTGAGTCACAGGCATCAACAGTCAGAATCAATGGTATTTTAAAGAGACTGTAGTGTTACTATGGTAACTTTCTATATCAGATAAATGATCCAATCATGTTTTAGTAACATTGGGCATTTTTTCAGCACTTTTTGTCAAGAAACAATTTTGGTCTAATCGATATATTAAAAAATTTATGTCCAAAGATTACAAGACTGTTTTGGACCACCTCAAGCTGTCATTTTGATTTAGTTGTCAACATTAAGGGAAGTCCTGAAAACGTACCTGGTAGGCATGTTTACCCCAATTGTCGATTTCGGCTTTATGCCATTTTTGTCCCTGGTCGCCTGTGTAGGAAAACTGTTTGAACCTTCGTGCGCCCAAAACAAGAAGGACATGTAGAGCTCCCATCTGAGCTCCGTGCATATAATAATAAAACTGAAGGCAGTAGCTACCGATCAGCTTCGGCGAGAGAAGCTGGGCGCGGTCTCCATTTTGACGCGGAAATGAAGCTTCGGCATAGATGTAGTAGCCTGAGGAAAAAACAAAAGGCATAACTCAAGTTATTATGAAGCACTAGGACAGAATCTTAGGTAACACAGTGGTCACACGAGTTACTATTATCTGCACAAGCTGGTAACTAATGGCGTTTTAAAAGCAAATACCTTTTTTGATAAAGCTCAAAACAGATTGGTAAATCAACAGGATACTCCTACTTTAATAAGCTTTGTGTTAAAAAAGACTCGAGTTTTCCTTTTCCAACCTTTTGTTTCCTTTTACAGATTTTTATATCCATTTCAATTTTTCTTTCGCTTCTTTTACGTGGCAGCAGGTGTTTCTTAGGTTTTCCTGTCAAAGTTTGCGCAGGAAATTGTCGTGTTGAATTGAGGCTCTGAGCATGGCCGATCTTTGACCGCTGTGTTCGCTTACCCGAGTACCATGAAAAGTCTGCAGAGTGTTCTCAGGTTCACAGCCCGAAAATTAATTCTCAATCAAACAAAAAGGTCACCAATACGCCAAAAAAAAAAAGAAAAAAAAAAAAACAGAAAAATCTCATAACAAATGTTTGCTTTTTTTCTGAAGATGCCGTGATGTGAGAGCTATTTGCCAACCTGTAGAAGAAACATCAGATCTCGGGCCAGTCTGCGGCGCGCTTGGGGTGTTCCCTTTGTTCAGAACCCAGTCAAACTCGTCAGCAGTAGTCTGGGTAAACTGACAAAAAGTCCTTGAATCAAAGTTGCAGTACACTAGAAAATATCCACACAAGAAGTTTAGTCTCTAAGGGGGAGGTGGGGAAGGGAGGGGTGGGTAGATGACTGGGTGGGGAGGTAATTCATACGGTGACATTATGACTGAATACCCATATACCCATGCTTACCTTCTCCACGAGTAGGTGGCTCAGGTGTGGTCTTTTGTTTGACCGGCGTTTTGATGACAGGTGGAGCAGGGGTGCCCGGTGATGCGTTGCATTTTCCAGGGACAAGTTTAATTTCATCTAAAGCAATATCACCTCGGTAGCCATTGCCACGGACAGCCTCGAATGCAAGCTGCAACGTATACAAAAATTATCGGAAAAACGCGTGTTAAGACAGTTGCAAAAGAGATCAATATAAATGATCATAACTCAATCATTTCTTAAACCGCAGTTCACATACATGATTTTTTTATATGATCAGTCATTTATCCATCACTTCACGGGTCTATAACGAAGCAACATAATGACAAATTCCTTGTTGAAATATTGGCTTAGTTGACCGAACACCAGCTTCGCAGAAGTTCAAATCCCGTACAGGCCTGAATTTCTTTCAGGCCGTTTTTTCACGACTCCTAAGTAGTGTTCATTCATGCGAAGATCGCTCTCGTATTTAGAGATTGTTTACAGTTTCTAGTTAAGTTATCATTCCCTCGCAATGTTCTTCTTCAGTTTTTAGATTTCAAGGGTTGTCATATTTTCAAACTAATAGCTCACAGGACGTGGCAAGAGCCAAATCATTAGAGATTGCGTTTCGGTGTTGACAAAGATGCTTTCATTTGAATGTCGAAGGAACCCAGGGTTGTATTGGTCTTGCTGTATGCTATTGGTATTGAAATTTGTGTCACCCTCTCGTACACACAGATGCAAAACTAAAACAATTCGCTATTGAACCACTTTGCACTTTGGTGCCTAGTGAAGCACCAATAAATCAAAAGGCGCTCGATGGGTTTTATCCTTCAACGAAGAAAGGATCCTTGTAAACTTTACATCACTCGGGACAAGATCGTACTCGTACTCGTCATTACCTGAAACTGCTCGGGACCTGTTAAGGAGTATTCCGCCGAGTACCACTGATCTCCTTTATTACCGTCAACGGAAAACACAACACTGTTACCCGATGTTGAATTTTTGTAAACCCTCAGGGATCCAATGTTAACACCCAGCATGTGGTAATGCATACGGAGACAATAAGGTCCCTTCAGCCGGGGAGACAGCAGGACAGCTCTGTCGCCTTTTCTACGAGGCGTGGATGTCTCGATGTAAACGTAATAACCTGTGTAAAAACAAGAGTCAGCAGGGGCCGACTACCGACCAAGTTATGACTAAGTTTTGTTACAAAATCGGCCAATAATCTACGAATCTGATAGATCCTGCAGTGGGGATTTGGGAATGCCGCAGAATTAATGAAAGAAGAGATTCAAAGCACTATTTTACTAGCCTTCTGGCTTGCCGAATCTCCACCGGGAGGAAGCCTTCCAAAATAGGATAATCAAATAGCTGACCTTTTCCAGACATATCTGTGCCTGGTCCAGTCCCACCGGTCCTTGTAGGACCTTTATGGAGGGTCCAGTCAAACTGGTCTCCAGTCGCTTGAGTAAAGTCGCACAGCGAACCACTGTCAAAGTTACAGTATTCTAAAAAAAGGAAAAAAAAGGACTGATATAAATTAACGGACATTACTCTTATCCAGGTAAGAAGACAACTGCCACTGTGACGTTTCCTGATTCTACAAACTCACACTCATTACCGTTAATCAAGGTTCGGTTTTCATACGATATAGATTGGTGTGATTACACAAGATCTAATCTTAATCGGAGTTTGACAAGATTTCCGGCATCCGCTAGAAATGTTACTTACGGTCAATTATGCAAACCATTTGCGAACAAGAATGCGTCTGTTTTCAGGCCTCACAGTTCGTGAGTTTGAACCCGAAGTGAAAGTTCCATTTTGGTTTCACTGTGCCTCTTCCCTTGTAAATTGTAACGAAATGCGAAGTGGAAGTGGGAGGGAGGTAAACTCGCGATGGACTTCGAATTCGTCTAGAGAGGCACTACTAATTTACTCAACCCCAATGAACTTGGCTAGGTCTCTATGTGCGAAATTACTCACCAACAGAATTCTCATCTGGACCTGGAGCAACTGGCTCTAGAGGAGAAAAATTGATCAAGTTCAGCTTTGCCTTACTTATTTGGTTTATCCCACGCAATGGAAAAAGATACATTGATACCTATTTCAGATTTAATTGTCTCCATAGAATTATTTTCAATTGTCTGTCAAAAGAAATCCGGAATTGCCCTAGTTTTCTTTATTTCGATCTGTGATTGGTCTAGAAAACTCGTGCCACTTTTCCAACCAATCAGATGCAAAACTAAAACCAATCACGACTACTCTCACGAGTTGGTTGCCCGCGTTTTCCCGCGCTTTAGCCAATTTGGTTGTTTTTACTTTAAATTCTCATTGGTGTTTTCCTTTCTTCTGAGTGGCCGTCGTGATTACTTTGGTTTGAGTTTTACGACACTCACACGGGATATACACTTCATGTAATGCATGTGGAAGGTAGATTGTAATTGTCTTGGTGTTTGAACCTTTTACGGTATTTAACATCAAAACTCACTTGCAGGACACTTGTACAACTTATTGATCTGCCGAACGTCATTAGCACTAAATCCTTTCCGCTGACCCATTTGGTTTGACCCACTCCTCAATCCCATGATGGTTGGTCGTCCATTACGGGTAAAGTCATTCGGCCCATAATGCATTATGCTGCTATAGTCGTAAGGTTCTCCCAAATGCTGGATCTCGCCTTGATCGAATTTTTGGAAGTTGTCTTCTACGCCTGATGGAATAGAATTGTGTGTAAAGTTTTTGTGTATTTATTTGTATAGACTCTGACAGGTGTTTACGAAAAATATTATGTTAAAAGATCATTAAGGCCTAAACGCAAAAATGGAAAAAAGCAAAACAAACAAACAAAAAAACGAAACAAAGAAAAAAGTTATAAGTTTACGAGCGCCAACGCATATGTGTGACCTGAAAGAAGGGATGTAAAGTGGCTACAAAGGCCCGGTAATAGGAAGAAAAACCAGTTGGAATACAGGGAAAAGGGAGATTCCAGAACCTCCTTCTCAACTAACTTACCGACCATAGATAGGCTCAGTAAAGTGTCTTCGTTAAGTTTATTGGAGCTTCTATAATTTATTTTCAGTGGTGATTCTAAAGCGATAGCTTTTTTCATAGTATCACAAAGCCCTCTTCTCACCTTTTTGAATGTTCTCGTACAGGATCTTGACGTAACTATCTCTGTCTGATCGAGATTGCTCGTGAAAGAAGCCAATTGCGTGCGCTATTTCGTGGATGACAACGCCCTTGAACCAGCAGCCTCGGTGAAGGTTTATCTTCTGCTCTCCACGTGCTGTGCGACCTATAGATGACGAGCACCTATCAGTCAAAAGAGATGATAAATTTGTGAACCTTGTACTTCCTTGTGTGGTGTTTTGATTCGGAGGAGAAAGGTGGATAACTAGTATAGGCTTAGTTGAGCGAAAGAATACGGAAAATGCGCAAAAAGGATGAAGGTTAATACTTTGCGGCAGGATTCTGCTTCGGGGCCTTAGGTAGCAGTCAAGCTGCAACCACTTACAGGCGATTGGCAGCAAATAGCGGAGTTCGCAACGCGCGCGGCGTAGTCCATAATTATACGAAATAAAAGTAAGCCATGTAGCCGAAAAAATTTTGACTTACGACCGTTCGACTGTACGACCGACCGTACAAGGTGCTACTTTTAGAATGTACGGCCAAGTGCATTGCGGGCGCGTTCTTAGCCATTACGTAATGGAAGGGCAAAGTAGAAGGTAATGCGCAGGCGCGATTGGGTGCGTAACTAGGATACCCCATTTGTGCCAGGAGATACTGGCACAATGAAGTGTGCATACTCGAGTACCGAGCTTCAGTGCAGCCTACGGCGGGCACACAGTTAGGCATTAGACGAGGGCTTCACGTGAGCTGGTAAATGTGAAGCAGCGTAAGCAATTAAATTACAAAACGCGTTTTGAGTGGGAAACCGAACTGGTGAGGTTGTAGTTGAACAGTAATTCTCAGTATTTTGCAATTTTGGATCAACTCGAAAAGCAACAATACCGTCAGAGCTGGAGCTTTGTCAGCCGGAGGAAATTGTCATAATCCAAGTTCGTGGAGAAAGGGTTTTGAGTGAAAATAGGCCGGAAAGAAAGAGACAGAGCGACCAAAGAAAGCAAGAAATAAGAGTTGTAAAGCAAGTCGAGAAAACGCGGAAGAAAGTCAGAAAGGACGCTAAAATAGGCAGAATACGGCGAGAAGAACGCGTAAGAGAACAAGAAAAGGCACTTTTTTTGCCAATCTTCGTTTGATACCAGCTTCAGTTTATAATTCAAATCACGTTTCGGTAAAACAATGACCTTTGCATTCATCGCTTTAAAACCCTCGCGCCCGTTCATCGCTCGGATAACATTTCAAAAGTGTTCGTATTCTTCAAATCATTTCTTGTCCTACCTTTTGGAATGTTTGATACAGTCGTGGTGTTCAGGGAAGAGAAGTTATCTTACGGATTATGTTTTTCCTAGAAAGTTTTAAAATGATAGCGAACGGCGATAGCAAGTTTCTATCATTCTCTCTTCATTTGGTTATCGCAAGGTTTACATTAATCATTTTAAAAAAAATCGCGCTTTGTCGAAGGTTTGTTGTTTTACTCTAAGAACGAAGTAACGACCTTTCCCAAAGTCAGCGATGTTCATGTTTACTTTAAGTTTGACGCGGTAGTTTGATTTTGAAAATATGGTCATGTAAGAACCCGTCAAACATCTAAGAATTAAATTACCGAGCGCAAATGTGAGCAGTAAACAAACTCACGGGTAAAATGGTGTTAATCCTGCAGCGTGAGGAGTGAATTTCATTGTTTGGTCATGGTACATTTCAGCGTTATGTTTTCATGCTTTCTACTCGATTCGTTCGAACTTGAAGAAATGGTTTTTCTCACAAACATGGAGCCACTTTCTCTTCGCTCAACATCTCGAGGCGTACTTAATGCTCGGGTTAAGATGAACATGCCCGCGATACGATAATTTTTTCCTAATGCTGGAAAATGAAGAATAAATCTCTGAAATTGTTAGTCATCAAATTTTGTAGGAAGCGTATGGGGTGTAATTACCGTCAAAAATAAATGTTAAATTATGATATCCACAATTTCAGTCATGACATTGAGATGTGCAATTGTGCTATTCCAATGTGATATGACGTCTCAATATGCAATTTGGTCCTTGTGTTATGACATTATGCTATCACATTTGACTACTTTGCTTTTGCAATGTGCTGATTTGTCACTCTACCTTGGCGTTCCGGTATTATATTTTGCTATTTTGCCATTGCATTTTAGTATTCTTCAATTTCGACATTGGGAAAAGCAGTTTTGCTATTACGATTTGTCATTTTCATAGCGTGCGTTTCATTATGGTGTTTTGTCAAGGTAACATGCAGTTCGGCATGGCACTCAGAAACGAGTTTTGGACAAGATAAATTATTTTCCGCCAAAATTACAACTATATTCATATATTTCCTCTCTGTCTCCCTGTCTTGGTTAGAAACATGGCGGCTTTTCGTGAAAGAGTGGTGAATTTATAATTGTTAGAAAAGGCGACCCATCTTATTAGGGAACACACCAGGGTCCCAGGGTCCCGAGAATGGTTCTCCAAGGTACGGTGCAGTAGCCAGTAGCCAGAGCAGTGAACGGACGGGAAACCGACGGACGAGTACTGGAAAATTTTCGAAATTTATTTCAGCCGTACACGGCTCGCGCAAGGTCAACCAGTTTCTTAAGCAGCAGCAGACAGCAGTCGGCGTCGTCAGCTCCAGCTAATAAAAGAAGGAAACGGAACACAACAGTATTGTTCTTCAAACGAGATACATGGACCCACGAATTTTTTTGTCTAGCAGATAAAGAGCAGATGGCAGTCCGTAGCAGATCATTTAAAATCCAGTTGTAAGAGGCTGGTCAAGGCCGCAAAAAAATTTGCTTCAACAGCAAGACCAACGCAACAGATGTCATGACGAAGCAAGAAGAAGGCTACCCTAAGTTAATTGCTGGTGGAGGGTTTGAAATACTTCAACGAGGTCTGAGCCCTTCTGAGTTAAGCATTATTCCTCCTCCAAATTCAGGATACACGGTACACTTTTAATGCGACTGTGCGGGATTGGGACAACCAATCGCCTACATAAGACCTGTACAGTGCAATCTGAACCAGGATCTCATCTAGGCGGTTTTAGAGGATTGCCAGGTATGTACAATTTTACAGGTTACGATTGTATCTATCCGACAAATTGCCTTAACTTTTTAACTCCAAAAATGAAGAAGACATTTGTAGGTTTATTTTTGGTTTGCAATCACGTGATAAGATGCCATGTTGATTGAACTGTTTTCCTCCATTCTTTACTCTCATTACTTTTTTGATAGTGTCAGGAGAAATTATGTCTAGGTCTCTAGCGGGCCTTTTTAGGGTTAAAATTAGCAATTTCACTATATTTTAATGATTAAGATATTCTTATGCTTTCAAATATAACAAAAAATGTGATGAGAGTGTGATGTTAAGAAACACTTATTATGGGAAAATCTGTAGCTGGTAGCCTATGTCTTTATAATGTTTAAATTTTCATGGGAAATGCTTTTCTATGAAAGTGGGAATACAGGAGTTTCAAAGATGATAGAAATAGGCTGTTTGCAAGTAATGAAAAGCAAACTGACAACCATACTTCAATGCTTGACATGCTTCACTCATACATGTCAGTTGTGTGTACCTACCATTGAAGACTGGTGTCTCTAAAAAGAATTTTTGGGGTAACTGCTGCTCTTTGTTAATCTTTGTAGCTAAAAAAGCTACTAAAGGCACTGAACTTCAATTTTTATGTACTAGAGCACCTTCTATAAGGCTGAAGAGTAGAAGACCATAGATTGATGTTTACTTAAGGTACTAATTACACAATCACATATTCATGTAAAACCCTACATATATAAAACTGATTACATGATGTCCCTTTACACCTCAACATCAGTATGCATATACTCCATACTGTTCTTTATACAATTCCTTATGTGCTGGCAGGGAGAATTTGTTCAACAATCAAGGGATTCTTCAGTTGTTTATCATTTCCTTTATTCTCATAACTTAATGTTTGATTCAGGGGTGATATTGAAAGGAGAAATTAGATGCTAGTCACTCTCAGGGATTAAAGGGTTTATAACGACACATTTTTATACGCCACTCCTTGCATTTGTTGGCAACAATGCAGTGTAGTTAAGATTGTTAGGAAAGAAAACAAACAAATGAACAGAAGACAGTGAAATGAGGGAAACTGAAAACTTTACCATGTGATAGAAAAAACATGACAAGGGAAACTTGAATTGTACTAGCTAATTTCCTCTATTTGTCCTTCATGTTTTTGATCAAATAAAATTTAATCAGTTGTAGGGTTTGCCAGCAATGTGTCAAATTACCAGTGTAGCAGACTTGATTCTTCTTATAAATCATGCAGCTAGTAAAAGATAGATACTAAAATTAGATGTCCATAGGAAAAAGGACACATCATCAAAAAAAATCATCCTTAACCCTTTACACCCTAACATCAGTATACATATTCTTCATACAGTTCTCCATACATTTCCTAAGGTGCTAACAAGGAGAATTTGCTTAACAATCAAGAGCTTCTTTAGTTGGTGATCATTGCCTTTATTCTCATGACCTTGATGTATGATTCAGGGGTGATGTTGTTGGGAGAAATTAGATGCTAGTCACTCTTAGGAGTTAAAGGGTTAAGTGGTGGTGTGATTGATTTGTAACATTTAGAATGACAGAAGCAGTAAAAACACATTGAACTTTTTCCTTTTCACTAGTTAATTAGATTTTGGATGCTACATTCAAACTGGGTGAGATTAAATTTATTTGTATCATGCTTCATTATGGTTTGTTTACATGGAAAGATAATTGTTATTATTAATAGCTTCACAGATGTTTTGGTTGCCATCACAATGAAAATTTATTCAAAGTTTCATTTAACATAGAACGTTTCAAGGACCCTTTTTTTTCTCTTCGATACCATTTACTATTTCTGGAGCACAATTAAAGGAAGCAGGTTGTTCAAAAAATTATAAATTGTGATTCAGGTAATTATTTGAATATGTGAGTCATATTTGATGTTTCCACATGTAACAGGATGATCGAGCTGAAGATAGCCTCAAAAAGGAATGAACCCCATTCTAACAATTAGGTGACTAATTTGGAAACTTGAGCACTTGGTAAATACACCTTAGCTTGCAATTCTGATGATTACAGTTTGCTGAGGTAATTGAAATGTCAGTCCCCATGCAGGAACTTTCGACATGACCTGTACAGTCATATGGTATGAAATAACTTTAGAAAAATGTATTTGTGTTGATAGAAGTATTGTAAGTACAGTGCCACCTAGTGACAAAAGTTATAATGATTTCCAGTAAGCATGAATGTTTGGGAGAAGTTATGGTGGTAATTGACCCTTTCTTTGCTAGGATGCATAGGGTCTGATGATTGTAATGTACATCTTTTAACTTTCAAACTTTCAACTTTGTAGTAATGGTAACTGTTTACCATATCTATTTCTCTGTACCCTATAAGCCCTCAAAGTTGAAGCAGGTGAGTCAATAACCTGACTTCAACTTTGTTTGGAATTGTGTGATTATATAATTTTGCTGTGTAAGTTACTACATTGTAACATTTAATATTGTTATTTAGATTGCATTAAATACTCTTTCTCAAGCTTTCATTGAAGCATGGTGTTTCTTATCAATGCTCATGCCCAATCTAAACATTCATATACAGAATTGGTCACAACATATGCCAGTTTTAAAGGGTTAGACTCTGGAAAGGCAATAATCCTCCTTTAATTAGGACTGAAATTAATGGGGGCCTTCCTAAATTTTTAATTCATGTTTTTACTTTGACCTGCCTCCTTCCTCATAATGTTTAGGGCACATAGATGAAGAGAACGTTGTTTTTATTTTAACTCATGAAAGTAATGGGTTAAAACTAATTGGCGTCCACATAATGCACAAAGCAAGAATATAAATGCCCTAGCCTTATTGGTTAAAAAATAAAAATAAGAGAGTTGTGCAGACCATATCTTACATTTAAGCCTCCTCTGGATATTTATTCAAATAATATAGTCAATATCAGTCTCAATCACTCTCACTTTCCACTGAGCTTGTGGAAAGATGATAACCTCAGTATTTCGTTAAATGAAGAAAGGAAAGCATGCCCTCTTACCACAGATAGTTCTTTTGTGCATTATCAGGACAAACCTGGCCCTGGTTGTGCAGAGGTTGGATAGTACTATCCACTGGATAAAACTCTATCCCATGGATAACCCCATGCGTTTTGCTATCACCTATCTGCTGGATAGCAATTTATCCATGGGATAACGTTATCTGCCCTTTATACAGTTGGGCCCTGGTCTAATTTGTACACAAAGGTGATTGTTCCAGGTAGGCTAACCTTAAAAATTAGTCATTAAAATTTCAAGTTCCTGAACCAGTCGTTGTATGAATGTTTGATTAAATTTTACCTCACTAACCTACACTGAATTAATAGAAACTTGAAATTTATTTGTTATCCTGGTGAGGTGTGCATCAAAATTTCAAGTCATCACAGGCTTGAACTACAGGTTTATAGGAAATCTGCATGTGTGTTTGTTTTCAACATATAAAAGCCAGGATTATGACTACTTTGAATGACTTTACTACCTGCTGTACAGGTACAGGCAGGTGTTGTAAGAAAGTTTGCTTCACTTTTTCATTAGTATACATTTCTTTTTCTGGGAATCTTGATTATCTGGCCTATGCTGAATTCTAATTTTTCAACCAAATGTTATTTTCTTTTTAATATTCTTAGATTCCTAGTATCAGTTAATATTCATGTAATTAAAATAATTACATGAACTCTTGCAGATGTATGGCACATAATTTTTTCCTCTGATCATACTGACATTTTATTATGTGTAAGGATTAGTATTGGCCATAAATGTATTGTCATATTAAAGTTTTGTGCACAGCCTATGCATTAAATTTATGTAATAAAATATTGTAACCTTCTTAAAACTAGTTTATCAGAGATTTAATGGTCTAATAGTTTTTTTGAAGTACAAATCATTAACAACGCAGACATAATAATGGCGCACAGATCGGTGCCTAGCAATTTATACTGCCCGGGGACACCATATCATGTTGTGCTTGATATTTAACGTGTATCATAACCCTGGTAACAAAACCCTAATACCATGATATTTCCCTTTAGAGCTGTCCCCTCTAGTATATTTCAAGTTATTCTCGTCTGATTATATAATAAGAAGTATTTAGATCTACTTTTAAACGCAATACATATGGTGCTATTGCACAAGCGTATGCACTTCTTGTACTATAGAAGGAAATTTCCTGCTTACCCGTCACCGACAGTAAATCTGATGTAATTTTTCTGAGTGGTCCTGGAGACAAACTTCAGGCATGTCTGGCTATGATAATCTTTGATGGCATCGTTGATGGCTTTCACACCTTGTTGTCCTACGTTTATAAATTGTAAACAAACATACAAAATGACTCAGAAACGAGGTAAGATGTAAGTATTAGAAGTCTTAATTTTCTCTGCGCCAGCCGATTATATTCCTGTTGGGTGTGATGGTGTTGTAAAACATACGTTAACTCCTTAACTGGAAAAAACGAGAACACTGAAATGAGCGAAACCTCTGTTCATTTTAGAGTTCGCGAAACGCTGAGAGCAACTGTTACACCGGTTTCGCAAAATCAAGCTTTTAGGATTTTAAAATCGTGTTCTTCAAGAAAGCCTTTAATCTGGGTTTCATTTTGAACTATGTCATTTTTAGATGTTCCAGTGGCGGATCCAGGACAGAAAACAGATCATGAATATTTTTACAAACTCTAGTTTAAATATGCTAAGACAAGGAAATTTTAAACACTTTATATCCATTAGCAACTTGCAATCTTGTCGTTGCAAGGATTTTGGAGTAACATAAGGAGTAGAAAAACGACAAGTCTGATCTCCGCCCTTCCCCCAAACCTTCCCCATGGATACACCAGCAATTATGGTGTTTTTAGACCCTTAAATCCAGTAATTACCACAAACTTTTTGTATTGCATCGATTTCTAGAGGTGGGTTGTAATCGCTCTGGGAATACTCACCAATGCTTTTGTCTATGATGTAGGGGACTGTGTTGCTCGGCCACAAGCCATGTGGGTAAGTTATGGCATTGCGGGAATTTGGATCTTGAGTTATAAACCTTAGGGTTTCAGCATCTGAGATGATATCTCCAAGCAGTATATCTGGACCTGTGTATCCTAAAACTGAACAGTGCGGGAAAAATGGTAGATTTTACATTTTGTCCCAAAAAGTAAATGTCGTAAAGGTAGCGTAAGTGCGCGCATTGGTTGCATCATGGGAGAGTTAGGCTCAAGATAGCCCCTGCCTCCCTTTCTTTCAACTTCCTGATCCTTTGTGTCCGATGAATTCGTGTAACTGTCGCTTGGTGCACTTTTCCCCTGTTTGGTAAATGGTAGGGGGTGGGGAGGGGGGGATGTACGGAGAGGACTGTAAAGTAAGCTAAAAGCAAACTTAACTTCTACTATTGTTGAAAAACACAAAAAAACAAGGAAGAAGCAGACAAAGATTGATTAGGAGCCAAAGGCTTAACTCTTAATTCCATTCAAGTGCTTTTCTAACCTCGGGTTGGAAGGGGGTGGGAGGAGGGGTCCAGATAGAGATATTTCGATTCGATACCGAAATTAAGAACAAAGATGTGAGATGTAAGTCAAGCATGTTTGATAAGTGGATCATTAGATAATTGAACATGGCGCATGTTTGGTAATTCACGTATCAGACTCCTCAGTCAACGGTCAACTTGTGTTGAAAAGTTAGGGTTGATTTTGTTAGTTTCGAAACGCGTAACTTGTATACTTTTCTGTTATGTTTGTTCCGGTCTATTATTTCTTCGTTGGTTAATGATTATTATTTAATAAGTTTTTTTATTTATTATTTAGGCACATGTAACAGACATTATATTTCATATTTCATCGCTATAAGTTGCTTTCGACACCACCAATTTTGTCTGCTATTCACGTACGATCCGCTATCGGCGATTAATCTACAATCATTAGGAGCTAGACCAAAGTAAGTTTTTTTTATTTCACATTTAAGATATTTCCTTTTTTTTTTCCTTTTGATACGTACATCGATTTATTTCTCGCTTTGAGTTTATAATCGCTTCATTGTTAATTAGTGTTACATTTCTCAGGGATATTTTCTTAGTTCAGTTTCTGCTGCATTTTCTTTTAGTTCGAACCACACAAATTCAGCTACAACGTTACCATCAATCATAACTACGCTATCTTCAATCTTTACTTCGCCCTCTTCATCCGTGATTTCACACCGATCTCCTTATTTTCGTTTGTAATTTTGATTACGTACCTCATTTGATTAAACCCTGATTTATATTGTGCGTTCGGATTGTCTTCTCCGCTATACTAGTCACCTTTGAATGTTACATGATGAATTAATATTTCCCAATCGCATAAATTACGAAATATCATTGCGGGCTACTGAAGTTATTAAGAGTGTATTCCACTCTTGTTTATGAGAAAATTGGAAAATCATTGGGATAGTATTTGTATCATTTAGTGAGCTGGATGTGAATACGATGAAAGATCTCATTAAAAAAAAAATTATTAAGCTTTTGGATGTTTAAGGTTATATTCTTTAAATAAAAAAAAATTATTTGGAAAAGAGTTATTAAAATGGCATCAGAAAGATTATTAAGTTATTTTTTGGTCATGTAAGGATGTCAAGAAAGTTCGACTTTCAATGAAGTTCTTTTTATTTTAGAGCATTCTTTACTCATAGCAAAATTTTTATTCATCAAAATCTTGAGATACTGCAAACAAACATAAAACTACAAATGTCTTAAGCAAATAAAGAATGGATGGGTTAGAGTGGTTGACACCTGTCAAACAATAGCTAGTGGAATAAAACGCTTTATAAGGTCCTGGGGAAAAAAGAATTACTTTACATCGAAGCAATTGAGTTAAATATCTCTGGTGTGGTTGATTCAAACGATCTCAAAACATTTATTCGCTCAGTTTTTTGTGCTATTAGTCTATTTTTTAAATTAAAGATTTGACCTTGTAAAAAAAAATCCATGTCACTATCAGGGCGGTAATTGTAAATCATGTACACAGAAGATCTGAAGGTTTAATATTCGTGGAGTCTAAGGGCCTGTTTACATGGAGGTGGGGGAACCCCAGGTGGGTGAGGTAACCCGCCTGTCCATCTATTTTCTTCTTTTATTACACCCATTTTGAAATCACTGGTGGACCCTGTAACCTAATTGGCTCTAATTGATGCGATTTATTCACGAATCACACCCAGGCGGTGTGCGCACTCTGATTACGTTGCATCATGGTCGTAAAATGAAAAATAAGTCATGTATCCTGTCGTGGTCGAGTGAACATCTCTGGTAGCAGCAAGATAGCGTGAATAACGAGGAATTTAATGAAAATTCACTGTCTGTTGCAGTTCCTTCGAAAGTTAAAAAGTGTTTGCGGGCCTGTGCGACTCCTGTTATTCCTCCGTGACAAATTCGTTGTTAGGAGGCAATTGAAGACATTCAGAAAGAATCGAAACTGCAGTCTTGCCCGAGAATCTATTCATTTGGCAGCAGTTTCACACACAGCTGATGGCTGTGTGAATAATATCAAATCCGCGAGTTAGTTAACGGAGAATCGTCCCTTGACATGCAAACGCATTCCAAAGAGGCAGCGACCTTCTAATACACGAACTATTTTCCATGTCATACACTTAAAGGGGTGAATACGGGATTCGCGAAAGGAGAAGCCTTACACCTCCTAACAACAAATTCGTCACGCCCAACGTTTATTAAAAAACGTACAGAGTTTCAAATATGCTTAAAGAATATAGAATACCTAAAATAAGGTTTTGATAAACGTATCTTTGGAGTTATATTCTGCAGGAGAGACTGATAGTTAAAAAAAAAAATAGCGCGAACACATGAAAATATTACCTTCTGTAACACAATCTCATCCGGCTTTGCCAAACCTCAAGAACATACAGATGCGGAAATGACACCTTAAAACTAACCCTTAATATCACATCGTAAACGGAAGTCATTAAAGGATATCCTAATAACAGCTAGGCTTTCAGGTTAGAAGACTTACAAGCGCAAGCGAATGGCAGAAGTCGCTCAAACAATCAACACCGTTTAACGATCGACTACCTTTTGCTTTCCGGCTTACCCGGTGTGTCGCCGTGCGCATTGTAGAGTTATTCATTGGTCCATTCATGGCTCAAATTTAACTGTCCTTCATTCAATGATCAAGATAGTAGATTTACTTTACAACACTCGCGATAAGTTAATTTCCTTTTACTCAGGAAAGTAGATTTACAACAATATATATATATCTATACAAACACAATTGAGTATATAATAGTAACGCTGTGTAACGCAACAATAAGCCTTTTCTCGGCCATAATCGGTCTCAGACACCCGCACTTAAAATGCGAGAAACACATGTACCGTTGGAGAGCGTTTGGTCAGAGCTGTTAGAGAAGGATCAAAGCAGCCATCCAAATCTTTGAAAGGCTCCAAACTACGACGTACATCAAATTTGACCTTCTTGAAATCCGGTCTCAAATTACATACAAAAAAACAGTGATCGCGTTTGTCCTTGAGAACCATAGAATACGCGACAAATACGAACAAAAAGAAACTTTTGCACATTCAGAATAAATCAAATTACATTTACCTATGGTGAAAGGAAAAAGGAACGGCCGAACTTTTACGGAATATTCAGTCAAAATCTGCTGAATTCTGCCGCTTTCACCGCCATGTTGAAAATGAAGCTACCACGATGCAACGCAATCGGAGTGCGCACACCGCCTGAATCGCACCATTTTTTACCTTAAATCGCATCTTTTTCCCACCTAACGAGGAGACTACAGCCAATTAGATTTCAAGGCTTGTTTAAAGTAACCAATCAAATTGCAGGAAAATGAAAGAAAGAGAGTATCATGTGGCAAATTTTGCAATTTTTGTTTCCAAAACTCTTATCTTCCCCCCCAAAAATGGATGAATTTAATTTCAAACCAGCTCAGTACTACATCAATAAAATATTTGAACTGACCAAATCCTGTATTTGGGCGATTTCAAAATGGATGTAATGAAGTGGTAATTGAACCTCGTGTCGTGCAATTTTGGTCTGAAATCATACTTGTGATTTCAAATTGAACTCGCACTGCGCGCTCGATCGATTTTGAAATCACGCGTATGTTTTCAGCCCAAATTGCACTCCACTCAGTTCAATTACCATTATTTATCTTGATCACGTTTACGTGATTGGTTGCCTGGTGGTCTGCCAGGTATAGGGTAACCCTGTCAGCCGGGGTGACAATTTGCCACGTAAATATCTCAAAAAGCTCAAAAGCGAGACATATATGTTTTAAAACTTTGTACATTCCCTAGCCGTTCCATGGCAGAAATCACCAGAAACCGCAACGGACACACAAGGAGTGTAAAATGTTCACATTTCGGAATATTTAGCGTTGTAAATCGACCATATTTGTTTGCCAAACTATTCTGTATAACGTATTAAGTCAACGGTTCCTCGCGAAACCAAACACCGCGTAACACAACGCGTGACGCTTTCATGAATAGACATATGTGTCCGAGAATTAATCTTTCGTCTTTCTCGAGATGTGAGCTTGGGAAGCCTCTGCTCAAACTCCTTAATTTCAAGCGCAATAACAACCTCAAGAAACCTCACCCCAGAATCCCGGGGTTGTAAGATTGTATGTAAACGCGTTGTATATTTCGACCACGGCTAGACGGGTTACCTCACCTACCTGGGGTTCCCCTACCTCCATGTAAACAGGCCCTAAGAGTCTCTCAGAGTCTCAGAGTCTGAAGTCGTGCGTGGTCTTAATTTTGATAAAATGTCGTGAAATCGGTGGTGAAAGTCGAAGCAGGACGAGAATACACGTTTTGGGACAGGAATGATTTGGAACAACTTAGTTAGTGAGCTGAGTCCTATCAAATGAATAATTGACCTTGTAATAGAAACTTTCCAAGGTCTTTGCGGAACTCTTACAAACCATCACGTACACGGATGACCTGCATTTTTTTCTTTTATGCTGGAGTTTAGGATCGATATTTTGTCACTATCCTGGCCTTAGTGATGTAAATGACTTCATGAGGAGAAAGCGCTCGTGGCGATGAAATTAGTGTAATACCTGAACTAGAGTAGGCAGCCATGAGGCTGTTTAAACTACTTAAAAGAGTGAAGTGCTGTAACATATTTTACGGGGTACAAAGGAATGGGCCTAAATTGTGCAGTCATACCTTCATTGATTTTAGCTTCATTGCTGTCTGGAGTGATTTGTCTCAAGTCACCTAGAAAAAAGGAAAATGCATTATGCCATATTTATAATTTCCCTTGTACTTTTTTTTTCTTTTCTGTTCGCTGAATAACTTTACCATCAAAAGAGATCCAGGTGACATTGTTTTTTTTTTTTCAGTTTTACGTAGAAAACTCGCGCGCGCTCTACTTTTCATTCAACATTTCTCTACAAACCCGCCTCTTAAAAAGCAAGTACGACTCGCTAAGTTTGTGCAGTTGCTAAAGATTTTTCAAACACTAGTTGCCTAAGCTCAACGTACGAGTATAACTGTACTGCATAGTTATTACGCAACATCATAAATACATGGAGTTGAGTGAGGAAAGCGATTGCTTATCAGTAAATTCCCGGTTTTAGATCGACTTAAAAGCGCGGTGAGCAATATTCTTAGTTATCTCTACATATCAATTAGTCTCAAAAGGACATCGTGTTCTTTATTCAAATTCTGTCGAGTTAAAGTTATATAGTACAGATGTGCTCGTGTACTGAGCATGGGTGACCTGTGTTCCGCTAAATTTAATAGCTAATTAAACCAGATACCCGACTAAGCTTGCGTCAAGTGATAAGGTTCTCACCTTGAGTCACAGGTCCGCCATCCTGAGGGGGGGTGGGTACTAGGGTAAACAATATAAACAAAAGGTCAAAGAATGTCTTGTATCCTGTTTTTGAAACAATTGTAAAAGATTGATTGTAACTTCCTTTTCCTTGCATGCGGTCATTCAAGTATCAAAAAGCATGAAGGTGGATAACGAAACGAAGCCGAGGTTAGGCTGCTGTTAACATTAAATTTTAACTGTTAAATTTTGGAAAGAAACGCCCAATTCTTCAAGTATTCTTCAAGGCGAAGTGAAAGCCCAAATTAAATCAATTGTCGGGGTCTGGTGAAAGCAAAACTTTGCAGCTTTGTTGGAGATTATTTGCGGCCTTCCTTTGAGGGTTCATAAATTCCAGCGCTTATTTGGAATAATTTCGTTCCAAGTCTCAACATGAACAAGGATCCGTCGACTGTACTGGAAATCTCCTGATTTTTTGACTATTTTTACAGAAATAACAGTTTGCGGTTCCACGTTGCAGTTTAGTGATTTTTGTTGGCTTCGATATATCGTGATCTTTTGGGTCAATTTCTCTGTCATCCAATTATAGACTACAATAAGCAATTGGAATTCTCTTGGGGTAAAAGAAATAGGAGTAACATTTTCCGTATTCCCGGTGGTAACTCCTCATACATAAGCTTTATGAATAAGCGCAGCATGAAAAGTATGGTTTTTGCACACTCTTGGTTTGTATATGAGCTTAGATTTTAACCTCTTGGCTCTTAATTATAAGAAGAAAATTCCTCAGCATTGCAGTCTTTAATGGGATATATTGTTTCGCAGATGCCATTTTCATTTTCTTTACACAAGCGAATTACATTATTTTTGCGAAAAGAACCTATTTCGTTCGAGGTAGCTAACGGGTTTCTAGACTCGCGGCATGCAGCGTACCCCATCACGAGAATCTAGAAGCACTCCCGGCTTTTGCAGTCTGTCTTCAGAACAAAAAATTACGCTGTTTACATAGAAATGACTCCCTTACCTGGTAGTATGAGCACATTTCCTCCGGTACTCGCGGTCAAAATAGATAAAACGAATAGAAGCCCTCCAAAAGTGAGGATTTGAACTTGAAAATTACCACTGAGGTTCATTTCGAACAGCAATCAAAATGAAAACATCCAGGTGGACGTGAGATTTTGTACTGCTGGCTAAACTAAGCGGACATCATGTTGGGCGACCTTTTCATTTGAGAGGAACCGCATTACTTTTAAGATACGCACTTCCGTTTCCGTTAGCTGATCTCAAGGGGCGGTGAAAGCTACAGACCATGTCTTTAGAAGACGTATGTAATATAATCCAGGAAAGATTTGTTTTAACTACCCACCGATTGAAGAAGTTCCTCCTTTTTTCAGATAATAGTCAAAGCAATTTGTGTACACCGTTATTTTTGTTTTTTTGAATGCGCACCATGGAAGTGACTTAGAGAAGGTGGGGATTATCCTCCTAAAAAACACTCAATCGTAATCTGAAATAAAAAATAATTCTAGGAACCGTTTTAAACGTTTTATAAGCATATGAATTGCTCTTGAAGGGGTCAATTTTTTGGCCCAATAAGCAAAGGAGGGGTCCCAACGATGTCACGTCACCTTGTCAAGAAATGAAACTTGTAACATGCCATCAAACCCGCTTATCCTCTGAGGTTCTCTTAACTGTATTCACAGAGAAAAAAGTCGAAGGAAAAAAAATTATCTATCTCCACCATCAAAACTAATCTCTCTCCTTTGTAATATCGCTGTCATCTCACTGATGTTTGTCTTTCTCTGCAACTACCGCTTACTTGTTTCGTTCGTCAAAGAAACTTTTGATATAACCATCCAGGAGATCAAAAGGGGAAATCTCCTTAAGATCTCTTGTAACCACTGATAAAATGCAGTGGCTTTAAAAAATTCAGAATCCTATTAGATTCTTTTTGTAATGATGCCTTTAACCCTGTGACTCCCAGTAGTGGTTGACATGTTGAGTCTCCCAACAATATCAATACATTATCCAGTAAACAGGTAATGAGAATACTCGAAGTTATCAGGGAGAATGGTTGTTATATTGTTATTGTCATATTGATCTAACTCCAAATTCTCGTCACTAATTTACAAAGAAATGTGTTGCAGATAGAGACAAAAGTGAACAATCAGATCTTAAGAGTTAAAGGGTGAAATCTTTTATATTTTTCATTTTTCTTGAATATGCATCCTGTTAGGGGCTGAGAGGGGGAAATGGCGCGCGCTGGGGGCAGGGAGCGGGGGGGGGGGAAGGGGAGGCTGGGTTCTCCCTTCATTGGGTTAAATGGTTATTAGCCGCCAAAAAGGACAAGATATTCGGAGTCTACAGGATAAAAAATTGCACGAAAATTTTATTATGACACAACCAAAATCCTCTGCCACCCCCCGATGAATAATGACCAGTCTCAGTCCCTGGTCAGATGCTTACACTTTACATTTCAAATCGCATTCCTATTAAAATTTTAACGGTATAACATGTTAAGTGAAACCAAGAGCACATTACCTGGTGAAACTTTGTGGCTTAAACTTCACAATTAATTAAGTCAGACATAAAAAATTCATCTCCAATGGATCACATGAAGTCTGTCACCATGGTATCCCATGCAGTTGAACAACACGCAAAATGTCAAACAAAAACATAACAAACAATCGCTGTCTTAAAAAAATGAGCGTAGGAAATTAAAATGTTCATATAAATTGTAAAAGGAAACAAAAGTAGCTGAAAAAGAAAACTCAAGAATTTTTAAACACAAGCCTTTTTCTAGTACGGGTACACTGTTAATTTACCTTTCTGTTTTGACCTTTACCAAAACAGATCATATACTTTTAACCCTTTACTTCCCATGAGTGACCAAGAGAGAATTTCTCCTTAAAATATCAATACAATGTCAAGCATAGAAGTGATGAGAATGAAGTAAAATATCAATTATGGAATTATTAGTTGATCCAATACCAAATTCTCCAAATTGACATCGTAAGAATATATGCCAATATTGTATGCCAGACAGTAAAGAGAATTACTAATGATATCTTGGGAGTTAAAGGGTTAAAACACTATAACTTACTGGTTTGTACTTTTTTTGCAACTTGTATAAGACAACTTGGTTCTGAAACCTTGAAATTCACAGCACTAAGTCATTTCAACGTGCACAGACGCAGACATGCGCAAACGCTGTGTTTTCCTAGGGTCACAGTGTTCTGTCCGTGACTACTAAACTATTAATTGACTCTTCCCTCTTCTCCAAGCCATAATCGGTGATTTTTCACCCATATTGCGTTCTCAACACAAGGCTTTGGTTCATAAAAATATTGGCCGTTTAGCTTCCTATAGTCAAACGTGTCGTATTCACAATACGAGGAAAAGTTAGAGATGGGGGGCACAGTTTTAGCGCCGTCCTCGCTCGTCTTGGCCAGTTGTAGCATGCGCGACGCAAAAGCTTGATGAACTCCCATGTACGTTACACACACGTTTCTCGCCCGCCAGTCAAACTCCCTCACGTGATTGAGACGAACGTCATGGAAAAGTAACCGACCTGATATATTGTTGAGCCACATGCCGATCTGCTGGTCAGCGTGCGGATGACACAACATGGTACGTGCATCTTGATTCAAGAATTTGTCAATGATGTCTCGCGAAAACATCATCCATGACTCGTCAATCCATGTCATGTTTACTTCACAGTGAAAATTTCCCCAACAGAGATTATGCTTAGGGCGCCAAGGTAACTCATTCAAAAGCTTCTTAAGACACACAAAGTAGTCATCGTCCGTGCGAAGAAAATATTGAAAGTCGTAATTAGCCGCGGCCCATTTGGCGTGATACAAGAAGCGAATTCCAAACTCTATCCCTCCCAGAAGCGGTTGGAACTCAATGTCTCCGTAACGGGATGTTTCGTTTAAGAGATTTTTCTGGATCTTCTTGTTGACGACTTGTCCGTCTGTAAAAAAGTGGCAAGCTACCTGCGCAGGCAGTTATAATCTTTAGTATTGTATGGCCAGGAGAAAATGATTGGACATAGAAGGAGGCTGTAGGTCCAGGCCTTATCTGCAATTAACTTTCTAATACTTGGTGAAGGAAGGATGTATTTTGAAGATTGAACTCCATCACGAAAATTCAAAGGTGTGGAAATGTGGGAAAACTAAAGAAATGGTTAAAAGAACAAAAAATTGGCAACAAAACTACGAAAATGAAATAAAATTTTGATCTTCGTCGCAGAGTTCAATGCTGCACATAAGTTAAAGAAAGGCATTGTGGGTATGTTAATTTTTTGGGCTGACAACTGACCAGGCGCATATCTTGAACCAGTGCGCTCGAGAGCGAGTCTAAGATACTAACTCATTAGAAGGCTATAGTGCTTTATAATAAGCAAAGATTGCTGAAACATAACGTAACCCGAAAAATTATGGACAATTTTTTTCGAAGCTAAGAAACGTCAAGTAACGTAACCATCAGGTCAGATTAATTATGCTCGGAAATTTCGGCATTGTACCTTTGGGCGTCATCCTTGAATACTGTTTCACGCGAAAACAATACTCAAAATTTTTCATTATGCTCATTGATAATTCAAGATGATAGCTTTTAAGAGCCCCTCAATTTCTTCCCCTTCGTACCCCCATTCCTACCACCAACAGGGGTGAGGTTCAGAACACAACATTTTTTCCAAATCAAATTCCAAAAGAGAAAGCAAGAAAAACAGCCTCACTGCTTACAGAACTCAGTCTATAGAAATTTTTCTCTTGTTTAACTGTAACATCAAGCGAATTTTTTAAGAATTTTAGTCATCATGCCAGCATTAGGCTCGGAACCCTGACTATAGCAATAAATCAAAAGTTATGCCGGCATAATTTATCTGACCCGAACCATGAGAAACAGAACTAACCTCTTTCACACTGCAGTACTTCCACCAAGTCTGTCGTATGGCGTTCCTTCGTTCCCAGCGCAAAGGCGCTGTCGACACAATTATCACAAGGAGAACTCTAAGCTTCTTTTCCCCTAGGTCTTGGATTTGACTAATAGGAAGCCCGACCGTGACTTTAGAAACTGGCCAGACTATTTTACCTTGAATCTCTCGGACATTGATACGGAAAGGAAGGAGATCCGGTGGATCGGGCATAACAGGTTCTACCGAAGGATTCAGGTTTATAAACAGTAGGAGCACTCCTATTAGCAGGACAACAAGTTGGAAGAGTTTATATCTTCGAGAAATGCCCATAACAATAGTGAAGTTTGGTGGAGGACGCTGTTCAGTGTCACCGTCTCAGAATTTCTGAAAGAAAGTGGCCTTTAAAATATGATTAAGGTACAAACAGTTTACCATTAGTTCCCTAAGCTTCTCTTTCTTCGTATTTAGGGATTTTCATTGTCAATTTACCCTTTTCCCCTTCTTTTTGTTACTTCCTCCATTTGAACAATTACAACCTTTGAATAATTGTAAACGAGAGAAAAAAATGGAGAAGGGCATAATCAAGAGCCAATTAGATCCCCTTCACATTAAGTTACATTTTTTTTATACAATAAACAACGGCGATATAAATATGAGAGAGTGAAAAAGGAATCACACTTTTAATCATAACGATTACAATTTCCTCGATTGTGATTGGTCTAAAAAACCCCTATTTTCCACTTATTCACTTACCAAGTTGTTATCGGAAAGTTCAATAAGCCAATCACATTCAGTTGTAGTTTAAATCAACCATTATAAAATAATTCAAATGGTACGCGCGCTCTGATTGGCCATAAAACCATTTTACATGAGCGTATGTAAACACGGTTTTCGTTTCTCTTTCATTAGTTATTTTATAAAAGAAATGTAAAATGGTTTCCGTGTTTACATAGCCTGATGTAAACACGCAGGAGGTTGGGAGAACACTCGATAAGCTGGAAACCACTCTGCTTCGCGTCGTGGTTTCCCACGCTTATCTCGTGTTCTCCCAACCTCCCGCGTGTTTACATCAGGCTATGTAAACACAGAAACCATTTTACATTTCTTCAATCACATTCATTTTGATTACCGTCAATTTCAGAGCGGTATTTAACAATTTACGCCTCCCTTGTCAGTCCTGTGATGTAAATTTTCCCTTTCTCTCATAACTTAGCTATTCTACCTTTTTGGAAGTTGTAATTTTTCTGATTAATCGGTAATAAGACTTCGTGTCGTCCAATTCGGTCTGTAATCATACTAGTGATAAACAAATCGTGTTCCCGCTGCGCGCGGTCGTCCAATCTTGTTATCACTCGTATGATAACAGACCGAATTGGACTCCACTCAGTCCTATCTCCATTACAAACAACAGATACACAAATAGTACATGGTCAAAGGAAGACATCAATTAATACTGAGAAAACTAATACATGAAAATTTCTCTTTTAAATAGTTTTTTAGTGGGCTTCTCCCGTACAGATATAGAAATATCATTTCAATGGTAGCGTTCAGTAACTGTTGGACAGACACTTCACTCTTTCACTATCAAGATATCTTTAGTAATTCTCCTTACTATCTACTATACAAATCTTATGATGTTACCTCAGAGAATTTGGTACTGGATCAATCAATAATACTTTAATTGATTTTTCCATTTATTCGAATCGCTTGTCTGCTTGAGATTGTATTTGTATTGTAAGGAAAAAAATATGTCTTGGTCATCGGACTTAAAGGGTTAATAGAACATAACAAAAATAGATATTTTACAATTTACAAAAGCATAGCAGAATAAATGGTGCCATACAGTAACACATAGCTACACCAAGATGATCACAATACTACAGGTAATATATTGAATACAATGATGATAAAAAATTAAGGATAATAATAATAATAATAATAATAATAATAATAATGATAATAGTAATAATAAACTAAAAGAATCACTACGGATACCATGGGTTCGAGAAACAACGTCATAGCCAAAAAAAAAGGAAAAAAACTAACCGCGCACAAAGTTGAAAATTTGTTTTTAATTTCGTTCTGACATAGGTCTCTTTATTGGTCGCATGATTCCCCTCGTTTGCAGTTAATGGGCAGCCAATTTTCTTCATACCCCCTGTTATACTCTGTTGGCGACGACTGGTCCACCACCTACCGCTCCCCTTGAAACCACGTGATTCCTCCCCCCCCCCCCCCTCCCCCCCCCCCAAAAAAAAAAAAAATCTTCCAAACCACCTAGGCGATTAAAATAGCTGGTTCCTTAGTAATCTTTTTTTTTTGTTTTGATGCTATTCGTCATTTTGTGTCGTAGATTGATTTTACTTTCACAGAGAATATGTTTAATGATGGATCTTAGTCATTCAATTTGTATTTCAAAATAAAGAATTTTGCCATGAGCATCAAATAACTTAAGATAACATTGTCTTCACCTTCGTTAAACCCATCAAATAAGATAGTCGATAAAATTTCTAAACTTGCTCTCATCACGCGATATCGTCGCTCAGTTGGCAGTAGCGCCCATCGAGAATCTAGGAGGCATGGGTTCGAATTCCGTCGAAGTAATTTTTTTTGGCTTTTTTTCTGCAACTGATTGAATTAGACCTCATCTTCGAGGATTATTGCTTTACTAGATAGCTAACTAAGTATGGATTTTTACAGAAACATTTTGTTTGTTTTTCCAAAAGAAAAATGCTTGCTAGCGACCTTTGTTGACTTACAAAAGAAAAGTAACTCTTCGAGGGATTCGAATTCCGTTTTACAAATATTGCATCAGGGTGAATGTGAATGTCAAGTTTATTTTGAAATTCCCAAAGTTTTGTTTCTATTGCGACAACAAAAGGCAAGGAGCAGATCCTTTTCCATTCCATTGCTTGGTGGGGTTTGCGTTTTCAATGTGCCTGTTCAACCTTGAAATATGTCACTGCCCTTTTCAGGCAAATTTTGACCGACGCTAAGCGAAAAACAATGGATATTTCCGTTGTGGTAAATTGTACTAAAAAAAGGTTGGAAACGGTTGAATTAATTACTACTCAATGCCGTCAAAACAAACTTTTTTTTCTTTTGAGACGGCGCAAACTTGAATACTGATCAAATCTGCTTTGAAATATGTCATTGCCATTTCTTGTAGTCTGTTGAATTTTTATCGAAGCGGAGGTAAATAGTACTGCATATTCACGAAACAATTTACGACTCACCTGTCTTTCAATTAAACGTAAACTGCTTGTGGAATTGGTTTTTTAACCTACATCAGAGATTCTGCCCTAATTGAGGCAGGTTTATTCAAACTTAATCTTCATGAACCTGTTTCTTGCTAAATGCTTTCATTTGAATTGAGAACAACTCGATTCAACTTAGAAAGTGCGTGCTAGTAACCCGTTGGCCGGTTCTGTTAATAACAGGTGGTACCGTTCCGCTGATTTGGTCTTTCGAAAGGAGACAAGAGAGAGGTTCTCAATGCCATAAAACAGCCAAAAAATTTAGCCGTTACGCGAAAAAATTGACAGATTTGAACCGATAGTCGTATAAAAAAAGTTAGCCGTTGAAAAAAAAATTATGTTGACAATAATGGAATGATATCAACTTTAGCCGTAAAATGGCCAGAATTTTAACCGTCAGCCGTAACTGCCATCACCCTATCGAGACCCTCAAGCTAAGAGAACTAAGCTATTCAGACAACTTTTCATTTTTTTCAGACAACTTTTCATTTTTGTCGGCCCGCATCCGACCTGCTGGTCGATTAGTACCCGTCCAAACATTCAGTGACGATCAAAACCAAGAAAATCTGATTAAATATCCCACGCACGAGCGCGAGAACAGATGTCGATGGTTGCGAACGAGTCAAGCGTGTAAGATACAAGAAAATTCCGTTGTTTGACTAGCACGATGTACAAGGTAAGTGTCAGGTATTTTTTTATAGGACAGCGGTCGCGTATAACAGGTTATCAAGGTAAATATTACTGAGAAAACTTTATTTCAGTTTCAATTCCGAAACTTACATCCTTTAATTAAGAAGGTTTTTCAAAACAAGTCTATTCTTTGAATAACTTTAGAATAGTGACTGTTATAACATAGCGCGCGTGCTTGCCCTGTGTCGGCTTCACGAACCGACATTTCATCAACGTGTGGAGGAACACAGGCGATCAACAATCAAACAAATAATACTGCTCTCACCATAGCCCCACCCCTGCTCTCCAAAATAAACACCCCGGGCAAAGTGGGGCATTTAACTAGGCCTTCCTTTTCAATGAACTGGCAAATTTTCCACTCTGTGGGGCAATTTCTTTTCTAGAAACCTCTCTTTTGCAACTAAAGCAACTTCAAAATTCACAAACGCTCAACATTGACAAAAATCTATCTTCTCCAGCAGTTCCAGCAGTTCTGCTCTCGAATTGAACTTTTTCGAATATCAGAAGCCATAATGCTGTCTTTTCTATTGCAGTCAGATGATGAACTTTAATCTTGATCATTTAATTAAGAAATTATTTCAGGTATACCCCATGACACTTTTTTGAAAAACCAAGAGGAGGTAAGTGCTGATGTTGTTGTAGAGCTTTGATTTGTTGCTCATCTCCAGAGGACGTTTAGCATATTCACGCAGCACATTTGGATCCATTTTGAAACGAAAAATAAATTTATGGTTATGGAGTGACTATTACATTGCAGCCCAAAGAAGTCTCAAGTGGTGTGACAAATGTGGGACGATATATGACAGTTTAGGCTTATAACTATTTTTATAGGACTATTGGTTCAAATCTGTCCATTTTTACGCCTGCGGCTCCTTTCGACGCATCGTGGGAGGGTTTCTATAACACCGTCTTCCTAACACACGTGATTTGACCTCTTAGTAACGTACCCCTTAGGTCGTATAACTTTTTTTATACGACTATCGGTTCAAATCTGTCCATTTTTACGCCTGACGGCTAAATTGTTTGGCTGTTTTATGGCATTGAGAACCTCTCTATTGTCTCCTTTCGACGCATCATGGGAGGGTTTCTATAACACCGTCTTCCCAACACACGTGATTTGACCTCCTAGGAATATTGGTGCATCTAACTCTCATGTTTTTGCACAGAAAATTTAATCGGAGAAGAACTTGACGGATTATAATTTGTTACAAATATCGATCGCATGAGAAGCTAAACCTAAGGCGTTTGGTGAAGAATCGCATAAAAAGCTTCATCGAAAAAAATTTATGACATGAGATTGGATGTTGAGATAATCAACATGAACCTTGTCTGCGTTGTTTCAAGAAGGAGGCGAATACAAAAGCATGCATTGTCACTTAACGAGATGTAAATAATTATAAAGAGCCCTATTTTCTGTTTTTTGTTGACCAAAGATAGGTTTCAAAACTAAGACATAACGAAAGGTTTCATGGTAATTTGACACTGATCACGCGCCATCGTCAAGAATTTAAAATGGATTGTGCACATTGTATCATACATTCAATGTCTGCTCGCGAGGGTAAGAGTAGCTTTTTTCTCCAAAGAGTCTCACTGTTTTTCGAGACGAAATTACGCGAAACTGTGAAAATCGAGGGAACCAAATCTAACTGTTTACCTTGCAAGCAAACATAAGCGTTTTGTTATACATCCAAAGCACGGAAATGATAAACAGGCAAACGAAAGCGTTTGCAACACTACAATATTTGGAACCTTATTTGGAACACCGAGGAAGAAGTCGATTACAAAAATGAACCTATATCTCTAGCTATAGCTATAGCTATCTAGGCAGTCAGGACAGCAACACCGAGGAAGAAGTCGATTACAAAAATGAACTTATATCTATGGCTATAATTTCGCAAATGGTAGAATGTACTAATTTTCTCTTACGGCACTATAACTCGACTTCCGCACAAAATTTGTGATCGGTGCGGCGTTGAATCCCAATTGGAAACTTTCTCTTCTCAGAAAACGCAAATTTCCAGAGTTTTAAAACGCACGAACCGAGCTATAGTTCTGCGCGTTAAACAATTTGCTTTGCCATCGTGGTTTGCTTTGAGTCCACATAACATCTTGTAAACACTACAAATTTACCTTTAAAAATCGTATTTTCGGTGTCCTGATGCCCACTAGTCAATGTCGTCTCTCAATAAAGTAGGAAGCGCTCTTTTTAAACCTCAGGTCACTTTGTTCTGTTTTCAAGAATAGTCAAAGTCTTTGGAATCGCCAAGAAGTGCATGGAAGAAAGCGATCACACCCGTGTCATTCTGCTCACATGTCATGCCAATCCGGGACATTAATCGCTTTCGAATGTCGTTCGGGATCCAATCGAGCGGGATACATTTTAATTTATGCAGAGTCATGCAATCAGCAAATTACAATCGTCTTTATAGTATGGGAAACCGCGGGTGTATAATAATGCTATCTAACATAAAATATTCATCTTTCTACGAGGTTTTATTTGGTTACATGCGGTGTTTATTCTGTGTTTTGTGTTTCTGTTTGACTGTGCTCGCCACAATTGACTAGATCTGAAACAGTGAAAATTGTTAATATTCATGCGCAAAGAAAACAACCAATACGCACATGCTATTAATAAGACATCAATAAGTAAAACTGTGATATATGAGAACGCTGCGAGGGAAAAGGCACGTGTTTTTGGTAAGATTTCTATTTCCGTTTTTCAGTCTTCAGTGAAGTTTAGTGCAGCGGGTTATATAACGACTAGAAAACTTTAACTTTCTTCATAACCCCCTAAGGAAAGAAATAATTCATTATTACTTGGTGTAAAGGTCGAGACCATGAAAGATCGTTCATGGGCCCTTTACTGTTTATTTTGTAATTTACGCCATGGAAGTTTGACATTATCTTTCTATTTTATCGTCATTTTTGTAGATCAAAAAAAGGAATACCTGAAATATGAGTTTTATTGCTCCCTCAGTTCAGTTTAGGTTGAAGCCTTTTAATCATCAGTGGATTCACCAGTAGAAAGTTAAAACGAGTCTGTATAGAGCTGTTTCAGATCATAATCTAAAAAAAATAATAATACCTGAAATCTGAGTTTTACTGCTCCTTCCATTCATCTCAAGTTTATAAAAGGCATATTATCAAACATCTGTGCCATAACGTCATTAATTATGCTTCCAGTCAGTTTTGTATTTTGATGGATGTCCCTTCAGGGCAAGTATTATGCACGTACCACCCGCCTTTAATAGGACATTCTAGTTTTAAAAACAAAGTGAAAACACTTAAATTAGATCTCTTAAAAATGTATCGAACAATAAAAGCTCAAGTAAGGCTTTACGCCCAGGAAGGAATGAAGGAGGTGAAGGCGAATTAACTTCTTGGGCTGCATAAGGGAGATTATAAGAGAAGTATGGCAAGAAGTATTGTTGAAAGGTCCGTACTGCCCTGCTCACGCAATCCCATGGCAACCCATATTTAAAGCAAACTTGTTGAGGGCTGAATGAGTTGACGTGAGCCATTCCATGAAAAGCCCCATTCATATGGCTCTGTTGAATTTTTAAATTAAATTGTGTAAATTCTAACAGCGGATTTTAGTAGAAATGAGTCGCGTGTCATACTGACTTTTGTGCTAAAATAATTTGAATTCCATTACCTTTTATATGGTTTTCTAGCACGCTTCTGCCTTATATATATATAATTGCGTCCTCTTAGCTTTAGAAATAATTTCAACATTTTAAAAACTTATGGGTCACGAGGTATAGAGCTTGTTTGGGTAGGGAGTATAAATTTTTGGTTGTTAGTCATAACGCCCGGATCGAGCGTTCATCAAATATTTTCCCGTCCGGCCCGCCTGATCAATAGGAAGATCTGGCGAAAGGCCACATAATGCGCAGTAAGGCGACATAGGTAGCGACATATTTTCCCAGAATTTTGTATGTTTCCTTGCAAAATAATACGGTGTTTTCTTCATAGGACGCTGGTTAGTCTTGCCCAATTGTTAAGAGGCTGTCTCTCTTATTTCCACCCAGTCAATTTTGCGTCAAAAATAATTTTGCCTGAAACTCTGTTAACAGAAAGACTTTACCTAGGAAAGAACTAAATTAGATTTGGTTTGATTCGAAATAATTTTCTGACTCCATTACGGGCCATAATTATTTCCCAGTCCGTAGGGACCGTCGCAACGTCTCGAAAATTGAAAAATAGGCATATTTTGTACCGTTGTAAAATATTTGATTAGCATAGTTAAGCCACAGAATTTATATCAGATTGCTTAAAAACCTTTCTAGTTTGCCAAGAAAGTAAGAATTTGCCCTCTCAACATATTTGAAAAGGCGAATTTTAGCATATTCTGACCACTAGAAATCGCCATCGGCCGATGGCCGTAAATAACCTTGATTTAGACGCTAAGTTTTGGGATTTGGGACCTGGTTGACGATTCTATCGTACACAGCCGTTAAGTTTAGACCTTTATAGGCAAAAATATGCAAAAACCCCAGTACGTTTTCGATTTTTCAAAAGTTATGACCGTTTGAATCAGCACACTTACGAGCATTCGCGATTTTTTCGCCTACACCAAAATCGAACCACTGAAGCAGATTTCGTCATAAATACAGCTTACCCGCTTTGCAGCCCGGCTTCATGGCTCACTTCAGAATTTTTTTAATAACCAAATTGGTGAAATCCATGATAACTTCAACAAATAGCTAAGTATTGCCTTCGAAAAGTAGGCGGCATCCATCGTGATTCGTGGTATCAAAACAAATGTCGGAATTGGCTACATTTCGCGGTGAATCACCCATTTAACATCGCTGCAGAGCTGAATTTTTTCCAAAATCAGAATATTAACTCTCCATGTCTGGAAGCTGAGGGAGAAATGAAGGTGTTAGGCTTCTGAAGTGAAGAAATAATCGCTTAAATTTAGATCCAGTTCGATGTTATACTGTTCTCACAAAGGTCCGCACAAAAGAGAAGACCGCCAATAGCTTGTGCCGTACGTTGTGCCATATGGTTTTGTTTTGTATCCCAATGTAATATTTGGGCAGAAAAATTTTGGATGAAAAGAATAAATGCTTTTACCTGGAGTTTGATATCATATAATTAATAGATCAATTTCAAATATCCTGAGCTTGCTTCTCTCGGTTCCGCGTCGATTTAATTTCGTAATTTTAATTTCGTAATTTGCCACGTAGTCGAGTGTCATATATGTGGATATTACGGTTTAAAAAAAAACTCTTCAAAATGCAATGACTGATGATAAACTTTATTGAATTTTTTAAACAAACAAATTACTTTGGTCAAGATTGAGTTTTAGAAATATTTAAAAAAAATAATTTAGGAAACTGTCCTCATTTTCTCAATAAACCTTTGAATAGCAAATCTTATTTCAATCCAAGTATAAATTTAAGAATGCACTGATGTTTTCCTCCAGGGTAGAGTTGAATGACCTTTCGCCTTCCCTGCTACTGACTTGATGCTATGTTTTCTTCCCACGTGATCATTACGTGCATCCCGAGTTAGAGTCAAAGTGCTGCTAACATGATCCGAGTCCAAGAAATGGTTTGATTGCAGGCTTTCTATCTCTCCAAGTACATGCGTATTTGCCTCTCTGGCGTCAAAATTTGCCATGCTGTCATCAAGGAGAGTGGTAGCAGGCACACCAACGCATGCGTGAACGAGCTCTTGGTTCTCAAGTAAGGTTTTAACAATCTCTGATGGTTTTGGTCTTTGGGCCGGATCTTGATGCCAACACTTCCCAAGTAAGACGAGCCTGTAGATGAATGCTGATGTAATTCACTAAAGCAATCACAGGCTACCTTTCGGTCAGTCACATACACAGACAAACACACAGACAGTACGTCAGTCGTTCAACGGGTCACCGGCTCAGACCGTTGAATCACTCAGTCAAGATTTCAGTAACACAGCCTACTTCTCATTGACCCTCTCAGGGAATCGGTCATTCATCCCTGCAGTAAGTCAGTCAGTCAGTCAAGCTGTCTGCATACTAGCGTTTGCATGTCTGTCTGTCTGGTCGAAAGTCAGTGTTTTTCCTTTTAGCGACCTCTGTAATTGGCCTCGTAACTTATTGATTTCCATGTGATACACGATTTACCATAATGCAAAGAGTCTACCTCAGTTTCACCAGCACTAGTTGACTAGAGGTATTGCAACTCCAGGATGGAATGAAAATTTATAACAACTTTACCCTCGACATTTTTTTTTTCCTTGAAAGTTTGTTGATATTAATATATGCTCCTAGGTGAAAACAGGCACAGTAAGAGTGGGATATCCTACCTGAGTGCACAGCATAAGCCGGACAGGGTTCGACCCTGGACCTACTGGTCCGAAGCCAAGTGTCCTTAACACGAGACAAACACGATCTCTTTTAAGAAATCAATTAAAGATACATACATTTCTGAGCTGGACTGGCTCGGTATTTCCAACGTGTATCCTTTTTCCACTCTCTCCAAGACTTCTGCGTTGGACATCCCTTGGTAGGGAAAGCCGCCGATGGTAGACAACTCCCAGAGTGTGACACCATAAGACCAAACGTCTGTACACGGAGTGAATAAACCTTCCCTGATAGACTCCGGTGACATCCATCTTACAGGCAGCATTGCTGTTAAGCCGTGGAAAAGGAAAGACATGTTAAATGTTGCTTGAAGTTTCGTGCAACTAAATTTACTGCAATTGAAAAAGCCAAAACAAAAAAGCAAACAGAAACCTTTTTCTGTTGATCTAGTTTAGCTTCATCTTTGTACTTACCCTTCCTTTGAAACCTGTAATAATCATTGTTTTGAAGAGTCCGCGCCAATCCAAAATCACCGATCTTTATAACGTTCCCAAACCCGACCATGCAGTTTCGTAATGCTAAGTCCCTGAAAACAGAAGCAGCAAAAAAAAAGGTCACTTAAACAAGGTTCATCATCATAATGGTATGAATATCTTACAAACTTTGGATGTAATTTGTCAAATATCCAAATTTTGATCCTTTTAAATCGTCCAATTCGTTAAACCCCCCTTTCCTTCTTAGTTTCATTTTCCCTTTCCTATGTTTTCTCATTACCAAGTCATTAATTTGTGTTTTCCGTCACACGAGACATAAATTTGCTTTTTGCATAAAACGAATTAAGATTTTGCATAACACATAAGGAGAACAATGGGGGGGGGGGGAGGGGGAGAGGGTACAAATGGTTGGCCATAGCGCATTTGAAGCTGCTTTAGTTTACTAATGAGACATGCGCAATTGAACCTTTTTTTTTCCCAACCCGAGGACCTGCATCATCCGTGATCTTTCCGTCTCACGTGGGATAATTCTGGTCCTTACATGTAACTCAAACAATCAGTTTGCTCGATTTTAAATTCGCTTTTTATAGGTAATAACATGATTTCGAGTGCAATTTGGTGTTAATAAACACGAGTAAATTTTTCGAAGACAACAAAATTGCACGAGCCCGTAGGGAATGTGCAATTTTCCAGTCTTTGAAAAACTTACAGTGCTTATTACACCAAATTGCAAGAGAAATCATACTATTACTTTTTAATAAGGTACATAAAAAAATCACAAAAAGTCAAGACAGACGAAATTTTGAAAGTGTGTGTGCGCTATTTGTAATTTGCACTCGTGTTACAACTTTGCATTCGTGTTTCATGAGATTGTACTCAGCCAATTAGGAGCGCGTTCAGACCCAACGTTCTTTTTTCATGTATATTATTTCCTATGAAACTCAGAACTTTGGTTCAATAGTGTTGAATATTCCGGTGTCCTCCTTCTGTTGCGCATCTATGCTTTAACGCACTAGTTTTTAGCTTCACCTGTGCACAAAGTTCATATCTGTCAGATACTGGAGCCCGCGAGCAATGTCCAGTGCCATAGTTGTCAGCTTTTCCGGAGTGACATCTTCGGACTTTGAAATAAATATTTATGTAATGTTAGTCTTGACAGAAATTCTGCCATGCAACCCTGTATTATTAAAATAATCGTTACCTCAGGAGCTCCAGGTTGATTCACCATGCGACGCCGAGCAAGAAGAAAATTTTTCAAGTCACCTAAAAACACAATCAAAATCATGTTAACTGAAGTCAGCAAGAGGCTCCAAAACTGTACAAAGGTCGAACAGAACGTGGTAAATGTGTTACCGTGTATCATGAGTTCCATAACAATATATACTGGTTCGCCTGTGGTACAAACGGCAAGGAGCTTCACCAGGTTTGGATGGGAAAGGAGCTTCATTTTATCTGCCTCGCTCAGAAATTCAATCTGTGTAGGGTAAGATTCATAAAATCCCTAGTCATAACAAGAGCAGAGATTCGCTACTTGCTATTTGTTACCTTCTCTACAACTGATTTTCAAAAGCAGAGCAGATAAAAGAGGGTTATATGGCGACAGCGAAAAATTCTGATAAATCGCATACGGTTTGTTGTTCAATGTTCTCTCTCAGGCATGCATATCTTTAATCTATATTTTCAAAATTCATTCGTGATACGCGGGGCAAATCCACTCCTCTTGATCGTACCTTAGCCCACCCTTGTGTGATCCCAGACCATCTCAATGATCAAGAATTGTTCGAGCTTTTTTTTTCCATATAATTTACACGTTGGTACAACGAAATGATGTCCTACACTATTTTCCTTGACATTTATTTGCATTTTAAAATTAAAAATACTCTTTTTCTCTAGACCCTCCAATCACGAACAATCACAGCGTTCTGGATATAGCACAAACATTCCAACAGCACTTTTACACTTCAGCCTAAAACTGTGAACGTGCAGGAACTCACACAAACCCTCACCTTATCCTCAATCGTTGCTCCAACTCTGAGAGTTTTCACTGCTACTGGTACCGAGACCTCAGATTCCTTCAGACCCATACCTTCTCCACCAAACACAGCTCCGAAAGCTCCCTCGCCGAGTTTCCTGTTTAAAACCAGTTTTTCTCGCGGTATTTCCCAATCGTCTAGTATAAATATGGACCCGGTGAAATTGGAATCCAAGAGACCCAGCTCGCGCAGACGATTTTTAGTGTTACGGTACTTTGAAGAATATCTGGTGTAAAGAGAGATAGAAAAAGTTCCTGCATGCATGCATATCTTTTAATCAGTCACAGCGATGGAGTAATTAAGATATTTAAGTTTTGATTTGCCAGTGTCAGGTACAGAAGGAGAAACATTTCAACAAATGATAAGATTTTCCCGTATTTTCGATATTTTTCGTTTCGAAAACAGATGTCCCTGCTTTCGCACAGACTAATCCGAGTATAAAGTTATCATCTTCTGGTATGGATTTTTTTACGTTTGCTTAACATTACATCATCTTATTGACGTCTTACCTTCCTTTGAGAATCCATATAACAAATATCAGGAGAACCGAAACAGATATCAGGGCTTTGGGAAAAATAAAATATTTTCAGTGAGTGGATTATAGACTAAAGAGAGAAATATGTTTTTTTTAGATAGAATCATTCCTTTTCTTATGATTTTTTTTAATATTCCTGAATACTTCAGATAAAAAATAGCATTATTGCCCAAAACTTTCATGACTTTCAACGACAGCAGAGTTCTTTCTCGATGCTAACCAACGAAAACGTGACAACCTCCCATCCAAATTTTGAGAAAAAAAACTCAACCAAAAAAGCGCAGTGTTCATGTCACTCTCTTCGAGCAGGTCTACCCAAAGTTTACTCCAACAGAAGAACCAAAGTTATAGGAATGGATAGGCTGAAAGGTGACAAGTTCTTCTCTCGAAACTCAAAACAGAGTTTCTTGTAAGACTGTGAGACATGAGCGTTATAGAGGAAAGATAATAACAAACAATCCACCAGCGCCCGTCGTATATAAGACGATAGATATCCAAAGAGGTCTGCAAGCCGAGTTGGCTACAATCATCTCATATTCAACATGCGCGAGTGGAATAATTGTTTTATTAGAAACGCCCCAAAATATAGATAAATCATCTCAATTTTATACACGCGTACACTTACCATATTTGTAGAGAATGGTATAATGTCTCATAACCCATGATGGCAAAGCTAATAAAAACTCTTGAATTGCATCATCCAATGATCCAGTTTTTAATGAAAGGAAGTAGACGAAGAGGATCAAAGCAGAGCTCAAACCATCGATTTCTTAAGCTTGATATTAGGATAGATATGCTCTCGCTCCTCACTTTTAGAAACTGATCACTACGTGTTTATTTTGACTCACCAATGAGTACGGCAATACCAATGGCCACTCGACAGGACACACCCAAAGCTTTTCTTAAATTCTCCACTGCGCATAGTGCCCTGGGTTCAGGTTCTTTATAGAAATGTCAAAAAAACATTAGGATATATTTTCTAGGAGCCGAATTCAGGGTGATTTAACAATAATACTTATAGGAATGGCTGAAAAGGAAAAGGACGACAAAAGTTTCCTTCTTCTTGATAAGACAAACTTCAAGTACAGTACTCGGTTTAATAAATAAACTGACTTTAGAATATATCATCGCAGTAATATAAAATAAGGAAGCTAAGTCTAAGTTTTTTCGCTCGTCGCCTGCGACGAGCGAAACTACTTCTCAAAACGGTGCTGAATGCGGCGGATCGTAATAAAATCAACACACTCCCTGCTAAAAGGTAAGAAATTCTTGGATTTATCAACAACACAATTGATTTTCAAAGTTAGAGGTTACTTCTGGAATTTTAAAATAAAGAATAGATGAACTAAAGAAACTCGCCTGGTAAAACATCACTTGGTATTGTTCCCGAGGCCCATGTAATTGTGTTAGGATTCCACTGCAGGCCTCCTGAGTAAGTTGCGTTCGGTTTGTGGGCATGGATAAAGTTTCCAATGGTTACGGAGTGCGAAGTGAATTTCTGTTTGATGATAATGTCGGAGAGACGATCGCCTTTGTTAAAGTGAACCCTTCCAGACACACCCAAGAAGTCCACTTGCTGTATATAGCGACGGAACTTTCTGATTAATTGGAAGCGAAAGATGATCAGGTTGACATTTTTTTGAAATAAGAACCTAAACCTTGAGCAGTAAGTTTATTGTAAAATACTCCACCATATTATATTAACCCTCGATAATATTTGATAATCATTGTTTGAATCTGGCTTTTTTGTTAGTATTGGAGATGGTTTTTAGGCCTTTTTCCTCATATCAAGTTGGGCATGTGCTCTCTGAAAGGGAAACTTGTGTATAACTGTACCTTTTTAGAGGTTTGAAATTAAACTTTCGTTTGAATGACCACCAAATTACCACCGAACGTTGGCTATTAAATTTTCAAACAAAAGAGTTTATCTAAAAATCTCAATTGCCAGGCTTTTAAACCTTCTTCAGCTTCGTTCATCTTTGTCTCCGTGTTTGCTACGTTATCTAAATATTGCATCGCTGTTTCAAGCTTTGACTTCAGAGTTTCACTTAATTCGGTGGCCTGTTTTTTACGAACGAATCTGGCTCAATTTTTTTACACACCTTAATCAGTCAAGTGCTTTATCAAACTCCTGAGAGCGGGTTAATTGTTTCCCTCCTTCGTACAGACCTCTCAAAGTATTACTGGTTGCATGACATTAAAACTGGCATCGTTTACGTTCGTCTTTAGGAAACCAGCGTTTCAGCTTTAAACCTGTAAAACATTTTGTAATACCAAATAACATCAAAATATACTTACGCTGAGGTAGAATTGGTATCAATCTTATCCAAAGCAGAGGAGTCATTCTTGAGCAGCTGGTTCAGTGCTACAGCGTATGTCCACACAGCGTCATGCGCAAACGATGCGTAATCCGACCATTCCTTTTTCTGCGAAAGAAAAATAACGTTAGGGTAAACTGAACAAGGGAGGCAGCAGAACCATGACAGCATGTAACTCTAGCCTGGCAATGTGGAAGTCTAAGGTATGGCTCCTCTAAATCTATCTAAATAAGATGCACTCTTAAAATCAGTTATATTGGTAGCCACTGTTTTTTTTTGCTAGGATTTTCGCAAGGGATGCATAAGTGAGAATCAAAGTAGGAATATCGACACGCGTCTAAAGGCACCCACCACCCCTGCTTCACCTCTGCGCATTTATGATGGTATATAACGTGATATTGCTTCGTCTGGGCTAACATCTCCACCAAATCACGAGAAAACTTTGACGAACGACGGAAGCAATTGCATCACTGTGCTTTTACCTGCTTTGTCACGGTAGATCGATATCGTTCTTTCCATTGTTTAACAGTTCCTCCTCCCTCAACGAGTTGTTCGTCATCTCCAAAAAAGGGAGAAGATAAAGTGAAGTAGCCTTGATCAACAAAAGTCTTCATGTCATCATTAGAGCACGGTACGCTTTCTGGTGCGGCGTGCCTTTTGCTGTTATAAAAATCTACGTCCCACCAATTAGATTCCAGCCAATCAAGTAAGAACCACACGTAACCTTTTTCTGAAGTTAGACCCTGATCAAATTTAAGGAAAAAAAGGTATGAGAAAAATTAGTGTACAAAGCTGTACTTGGCGTAGTAGGGATGCAAAGTTCCTTTAATAACGAGTTACGTTCCTTTTGAAATTAGTAGCCTAGAGGACCGCTACATTCAGTAAACTAAACACTTACTGTTTTCTGGCTTTTCGATGGGGCGATTATAAAAGGTGTATCCAAAGAGTTTTTATTGATAATATATGATTGCTTTATCAAGATGGGTTTTGCTAGGCAAATGATTAGAGCACAGTAAAGAAAAAAGAGCCTGAAATCCGCCTAGTTTTCTTTGAAATATAATTGCATTTTGTTGAAATGCACAGTTTGTTAGCCACCTTGGGAGATCATTTATTACCTGTTGGAATTAAGTGTAAACTACTTGTGTAGAGGACCTTTAATACAGTACAGGTGATGAGCGTCTGAAATCATTATGTATGCTTGGAAACTTTCATACCTCCTTATATGCTTGGCATGTCACTGCCCTGGTGACTGCTGGGTAGGCATCCAACATTACCACCGTCAGTTTACTCTCTGCAACGTTCTTGACATAACTCTTGGCGTCCAGGTCTTCACCGGACGGCAACTCACGTGACAGTACTTGAACTCCGTGTTTTGTCAGGAATTCTGTACGAGACTGTATCGTGTTTACTGGATACTTAGCCTCACGCAAGACAACACATTTCTTCCAACCAAATTCTCGAAAAATTGATAAGTATGCGAGCTTGAATTCGTCAATGCTTGGATTTGTTCGGAAAAACATCGGAAATCTCGTTCTATCGGATAAAGCCACGTCATCAGCGCCGTAGCCCATCAGAACTGTGTTGTGAAATCGCGCCACTTCGGCTATTGGAAGTGTTGCCTTGCTGCATGCTGGTCCAACGATACCGATCACTTTTTCTGAATGATGCAGATTCAGGTACCGTACATAGGCCGAAATCACCAGCTCTCCTCTGCACTGAGTTGGAGCTACAAGTAGCTCAAGCCTGCAGCGCTCCAAAACGTTTTTGTCTCTGTTAATCTCCTGGATAGCTAGTTGGGCTCCAACTTCATCACCCGGACTTGACCATACAGCCTTTGCCTCCACAAGACTAGGAAACATCCCTCCAATATACACAGTTCTTTTAGCTGTAGTTTCAGCTCGTATCCATGGCAACCAAATATCGCGTGATTTATTCAGCCAATGGCACATGGAGTCATTGATTAACGCGCTGTTTTGTGTTGTGCCGACCTGATGAAGTATATCAGTGATTTGCTCTCGTGTAAAGCTGATGGCTTTTAATAGGCCATAAATGTCCTTGTAACGATTTTGTATTTCCTTCCAAACAAACTTACGCAGGTCGTACAAGGGAAAATCGCATCCTCCATGATATTTATTCGTGTGGTTTATGGCGATGTAGTTCGAAGAAAAGCTGAAAAGGAAAACAAATCTAAGAATTTGAATGATAATATCGCTTCTAGGATAGAGTTAATGGATATAATGATTACCTGCATCCAGGGAAGGTAATCCTCCTAAATTTGTCATCTGTGGTTAAAGGGCATGGATCCCAGGCATAAAATAGTAACGGCTTTCTCTTTGCTTCATTCAGCAAAACTGTGGAAGTAAGGTTATTTCCAAGCCACATCACTGATATGTTCAATCGAAGACTTGAAATCTGATCCTCGACCATAAAAGAACTGAGATTACCTGTGATAATTAAAATCACCGTGATATCAAGCTCATGCTTAAAACCGCTGTGTTGCGGTAACCGGCTAGCTACTTTATCTCCCAACGAGAAAGAAAATATTTTTTATTGAATTTCACCTTTATGTGCAGCCATAAGAGCAACACAATTTTCGCCACTTTGGTTTAGTTGGACACACTGCAGAGGATGGAACTCGTTTTCTATGCAAGCCTGACATGTGATCAGTTCCGATGCGAGGGGAAGTTCCTGTAGTACAACACGAAGCTGTAGGGCTCTCCAATGATCAGCGGGTTGGTGGTGTTCGCTCCACATTCGATCAACAAAGAAGGAGTTTGTAAACCAGCCTAATCTGGAATAAGACGTTTTTTGAATTACACGAGAGTAGGACAGTCATAACCCACCGACACAAACTCTAAAAATTCGTAAATATCATGGTAAGTAAGGGCCGACACATTTCTAGATGACAACTCGCTGCAGTTAAACGAGTCGTGTGTACTTATTCCAAAGCAAGTCGTTGGGAATTATTTTGCAATCGTGAACATCACATAAATCACACCAGGTTGGAATTGTGAGACTCATTAAGGGAACAAAATTCTATTGCTCGGAAAAAAAGATTTTCACAAACATGCTTTAACGGTCACACGAAGCAAATTGTGGCTGCGATCTGCTACTCGCGACGTGACACAGCCATCTACAAAAAGAGTAGATCAAGGAAAAGCTTCTTTCTTTTTCAGCCTCAGGATTCTTAGACTCCAAGAGCCCGATGTTTTCCTATGACTAACCTTCCCGTGAATCCTATTGATCCCACATCCGCCACTACCTCATTCTCTGCAGGGTATTCACGGTCAAATGGTACCCAGACCTCTGTGTCTATCATGGCTTGCGGAACACCAGAAAATCTGTAATCGGGATAATTAAATAAGTATTCAAATCAACTGAAGTTCCTTGGCCAGACGGATAGACAGACACACTGACAAAGACAATTACCCTTGTGGAGCACACTTGTTTTTATGGACCAGTCATCTAGTGTTCCTTGGCCAGACAGATAGACAGACATACAGGCAAAAATAATCACAAACAAAAGCGCTGCACTTCTTTACAAGTCATCGCTCAACTGCATTTTGATACGTAACTGAAACTTAGGCTAAGCTACGTACTGACTGCAACAACTAAGCTCTAGTGTGCTGCCCAAGAGATGCGTAGATTCTGCATAGACTAAGAAAAGGGCAAGTTTTACTGCATGAGATTAACTGTAGGCACTTTGTTTTACCTGGCACTCCCACAATTAGTTCCTAAAGTCTCTTGAAAGCAGGGTACCAATTTGACGTCATCGTACCCCAGGCCTTCCTCTAGTAAAATCTTAGTAAGCTGTGCAGTGGCTTGCTGGGAAGCGCGATGTCCATAGGAAATTGTCAGTGGTAACTCCTTTCCTTGAAAGGTTAATTTCTGTTTCTCTGTTGGACCTGCTTCGAAGAAGAATATCGGTAAAAAATCAATTAAAAAAACATTGTCTGCGGTAGTTAAAATCAAAGCTCATGCAATTCCTTAGGACAGACAGTTGCTGAATTAACGGCAACAAGGTCTTGAAGGTAATCTCTAGGCGGGTAAATTTTTGTCAAAGCACGAAAATCGTCCTTGAGTTAAAAACTAAACAATCGGCTTTATTAGCCATAAAAATCTCTTAACCCAAGAGTTACTAGCATCAAAATTTTCCTTACAATATCTCTACTGAGTAAAACATTAAGCTCAAAAGAATAAAGGAAATGGTCACCATCTGGAAAAAAACCTCTTGATTGATGTACAAATTCTCCTGTCAGTACCATGGGAATTTTACAGGGAAAAACATGGAGAACACGCTTGCTCGTGTTGGGGAATAAATAAGGGTAAGATGAATTGAGATACATGATTGAAAGTTTGATACTGCTGTCGCCATTTATTTTCCTTACTTGACGTGAAATGCTTGTTCTGAACTTAGCGATGAAACTTGATCGAGATTTCAGGACTTCTTCACTATTTACATAGCTTTATCTAAACAGTCAGGGTCGGCCAGGGGGGGTAGTGGAATACCAATATACCCGAAAAAAAATCGACAAAATACCCCAAAATACCCCAAATTCTTCCAAATATACCCAAAAATAATCGAAGCTTTGAATACTTTATACCTGAAATTCAAAGAAAGTGATATACTGAATACCCATATTTAAGCTGCAATATACCGTATACCCGATTTAAAACGCCCCTGAATACCGAATACACAAAAACCCTGGCCGACCCTGAACAGTGGCAGCCGGCAGAAGTTCATGGAGACAGGCTTGACTGGATAGTTGGATTTAGTTAGCTTTCGAGAATTAATAAACCCGTAAACTCGGAAAAAGTCCGCCTTTATTTTCATTAAATATTTCTTGACAATGGCCCGAACCAAACACATCACAATTATGTTTACACACTTTCAGCTACACTATATTCTACTAAGTGCTCCTTTTTTTTTTGAATCAGCCGTGTTCGTAGTTGTTGTTGGTTTTTTTTGGACTGTTTTTTTGCTCTTTTAGACCTACTTTAAATTTGACAGGCCGAAAACAGTTAGCGTGACCCTTGGCAAAGATCCCGCATTCACAGGCGAAACCTAGGCCACGGAAGTACTCTTTATAGCGACATCTATCGTTACCACGATAAGGATAATTTCAGTGTTTCTTCAGCGTTTCTTTTCCCAGTGTTTTAGTGGGCAGAAGACTTATGAAATACAGAAAAGAGAACAAACGTGCTTCCTTTTGTCCTGACTGGGTTGGTGTTCTGTGGTTTTGCACAGTCCGCGCGATCTTGATAGGTGACATTTCTTAAGATCAGCTGCTGCGTAGATTGATATATTAGGCTCGTTTCCAACAGCTACAGTTTCCTGTAGTTTAGTTATTGATTGCTACACACGATCACTGATTATCAGTTTATGAAGAATCGATTTTTATTTAAATATGCAATCTACGTAGGTGGTGCTCCTATTTGTCGAAAAACACTTTGCTTGGTCGTGTGTACAAAATGTCGTATTGAGTATTCGACCTCTGCCGGCAGTAAGTTGAAACATTCGATCAGTATATCAACATACTACGAAACGTCGATAACAAGTTTCATTACATAAAAAAGGAGAATTATTTTGAAACGTGTTTAAATGCGATTGAACTACGCTTTTAAATAAAGGTCTCTGTTAGATCTTTAACGGCTCGCGTGAGTTAATGTAATGTTATTGCTACACGTACGTGTAGAGACTGAGTTTAAATTACTTTATAGTTGCGATGATTCAATCAAGAGTGACTCTTCGTGACAATATACTGTATCACGGAAAATCACGATCAATAGTTTGTAGCAATCACTAGGATGTGTTGCTCTGCGTTAACAACTCTGATCGTTCAAGTAAACATTCTTGCTATCATTGGAGTAAAGCGAATCGCTCTTATTCAAAACATGCGCAAACGCTGACTGACCTGAGAATTCGTGGAGGCATTTACCACTTATAAAGCTTCTGCTCTGTAACCAAAGGATTATCAAAGAGCTCAAAGACAGCACTCGTTTGTAAATCATCTTGAGGAGAGCTTGCGGAACGAATTTTGAACTGAAATCCCGCTGAGCTGTGGCTTCCAGCAGTCACTGTGTAAAACAAATCGATCTTTGCCAAACATCAATTAAGCAACATTGGGTTCGTGAATATACGGCAATTCGAATTCATCGGTGAGAGGAAATGAAGCAATACTGATCCATGTGGTGATGCTTGAGATCCAAGCTCTTATGGCGTCGTTCAGAATGAGGAAACACTCAATATTTCTATTTGTAAAGACCGCTTGGGGCCGGCTAACTCGTGATCGCGTCTAGGCTAGTTTCAAAATCCACCGATGCGTTTAATTTACAAGCTGCACAACTATCAACAGAACATTGTTATTTTCCTTTGTTTCTTTCAATTGAAATAAAAGAGAGCGAATGAATTGACAATCGCTGTCCACAAAACAGAGTATTCCAATAATAGGACTGCCACCTTTGCATCGGCCGGCTTTGCCAACATGCAAATTACGAACAGGTTGATCGGGGAGACGTGTTTTGTGATTATTTGCTCCATTATTAAAACTCTGAGATCAAATTTATTTATGCATGTCACAATTGGCTGTAATTTTGTTTTTTGTCAAAAGAAATACGCGCCCCTACTTGGCCTCATTGTGTCTGGAGTCATGCCAAAAACAGTGATTTGAAATGTATTTATTTTTTGGTCTTAGAAGACCTCATTCACGAACTGAGACTGGAACGAATTTACCTCCAATAACTTCTTTGTTTGTTTTAAATGGAAAACAAATATCTCACTTTACGGCGACTATTTTAAGCAAGCAAAACTGTGAGCTTTCGCCACTGTCTTGAGTTTCCCCGACAAAGCAGGATTCTGATTTATCAGGTCAAGATTTCATTAGAATAATCGGATAATAACAAAAAAAAATAATGAAATGATTATTGTTCGTTGAGTATCATTTAAAGACGCTAACATTCAAATGTCAAAAAATAAAATTTATTTCAAGATACTACATAAGTAAGTTAAGTATGTCTTTGATAGACAAATAAATACAACTAAATTCTTGAAAATTTAAGGGAAAAGATCAGAACAAATTTTGCTTGAATATTGGCTCATTATACTCATTTTCCGTATATTTCTTACCCTTGTTTGTCAATGAAATTTTATTTTCTCCCTCAGGTGTCTAAAAGCAGAGATCGAGTTTCTTTGCACAGGTGCACTAAAATTGGAAAATTGTTCGCAGCGGACATTGGCTGGTTCAAGTTCAATTGGCGCGCGAAATGATCGTCATAGTGAGAGCAGCCTGACATAAACAGTAGCCCCTATTTGGCGCGAAAATATGCTCGGATATTTGTCCACAGACATTATTTGTTCCAGGATGTAAACAGTTTTCCGAGAGCGAAACTCGAGGAGAACTATTTGCTTCGAGGAACCCAAGGACAAATATACGAACATGTTTTCGAGCAAAAAAAAAGGGCCATTGTGTTTTTATCCTTCAAATCATGATTCTGCAATGCATGTGAAAAAATTGTTTCGAACAGTTTTCTATTTGCTGCGTGGTATCTTTTCTTTTGAGTGTGCTCTGATACGGCTTAATGAACAAACAAATATTTTCCTTCTTCTGTAAGAACCAGTAAACGCTCTCTCATCTTGAATCAAAATTTAAATGAAGACTTATCGTAGTGGACGTAGGTTTGAAAATTGGGGAATATTCCCCTAAGTGATATCCTCGGATATCACCCAGTTTGGGGGGATATTCGGTCACGTAATGCGTGAAGACCAATCGTGCGTGAGCAAAAGTATTTGATGGATCATAAGGCTGTATACTGTCTCATATCCATGTGCATTGCAGGATGTGGAAATCACTAATTTCTTTAATTGTTGGATTTAAATGGATCGCAGGAAAATATATCTGAGTCGAAATTGGTTTCATTTTTAATCGTAAGTAGTAGGTTAAGTAGGTTAAGGCGTCGAAAGAAAAAATTTGAAGGGAAGATTCCCGTTCCTGTTTTTTCACTCTCTCAGGTGAGAAAGAAAGTGTTGCTCGAGGCGCGAACGATGATCCCTGAGAAATTACAGGCAATACCTTGGTCACCGGCAGCATTAACGTTACTGACAGTTGAGTAATGAAGAAACCGCATTGGTGCACGGAAGACTTTACGCTGAATCTGATTGGGTTGAATTTTTAATGCATTCAATGCAAAGCACTTTACAAAAAACGAGGGAAAGAAGGAGAGACATAAATAAAACAAGCGTTTGTATTTAATATTTCCAATTCCATTTTGATATTCCTTCGAAATGGTAATGCTCCATTTATAATCAACATTTCCTTGCAATACAAGTCGCTTTTCTCTATCCATTATTTTATTCCCCATCAACCTTTAATAAAACAGTAGAACCAGAGTGTTCTCTATCGAAATAGTATTTAATGAATCTCATCACCAGCGGATGAAATTCAAATAAAAAATAGTCCTTGCAGATGTGGTACAATTTACTCCAATTGCAACATATAACATTGATTTCATTACTATTGTGATCAGATTCTTTCACGAGAACTAAAAACCCATTAAAATTTGCCTCCCTCCCGATATTTGGCCTTGTGGCTCAATCAGCATCTGAGGGGCACGGGTCGAATCCCGTTGCAGCTTGAATTTTTACAGGCTTCTTTTCTCCAGTTGCTTGTAAAATTGTAAATTGCAGCTCAGCTTCGAGGCTAAATGTCTTAACTTGACTGATTCTCTGTCTTAGAGGAGACTTACATGACGAATTCCTTGCTAATAAGCTTTACTTCGTGTGCCCAGCAGTCTTGTGATTTTTATAAGCAGATTATGATATCACTTTGTGTTAAGGAACGTATGCCTTGACCGATGGAAGCTAGTTGCTGCCGAATACCCTTAGATCCCGTGAACGTCTTGCGTGTGAGATAGAATTCATTGCACAGTGGATTATGTAGCACCATCAAACAATGTGATCCTTCTTACATCTACTGATTGGGGGAGGGGGAGGGGGGTAGTGGGCCAGTGTTTACGTACCGTCCAAAGAACGATATGTTGTGCAGGCTAGACTAAAATCAACTACAGAAAAATGAGAATAAAGTAATTTTGTAATAGGCAATGGTTACCCAAGTAAAATTTTCAGTTCCTTCGCAAGTACCCGGCAAACTAATTCACTACTTCGTCCCCCTCCCCACCCTCCCCACCCTCAGAGCTGCTGTGTGGCTGTAGGGGTCGATCACTCACACAAAATTCTCCGTCAAAAATTTCGTTGGGTCAAATCCTTTCCAGCCTCATGTCAGACTACTCCTTCTGTTTAGAATTAGTTTTACAGCTTGTACTTGATGTAATCCGATCTAGTAAAAAAAAAGTGTCCTCATTTTCTTTTTCCCAATACCGGAGGTCTTGTCTCTGTCGAGCGAGCAGTGTTAGTACTGTGTGGTCCCCTTGAATGACCTTCTTAGGCTTCACGCATCTGGCATGCAGTCCTCATGAGAGTCAACAAACCAATCATCGACAGCGGCAAACTTATGTAACACAGTCTAGCAACTCCAACAATTTACATACAGATATCATTTGCACTCTCAAACTATGGCGCCGCAAAAAAAATTTACTTGGAAGGAACTGATTTCTTTGAATAAGGAGGACAATGCACATGTTGCGGTTCGCGGAAAGGTAAATAGTGAAAATAGTTTAATAGGCCATTGTGTTCAAAGAAAACTTCCGCTATGCGATCGTGATCCGGGCACGCTTTAGATCTGACTCCTCTTAATTGCAAATACGCTTTTCTTTTAGGTATACGATGTGAGTAAGTTTCTCAACCGACATCCTGGTGGGAAAGATATGCTACTTATTGGAGCAGGAAGCGATGTTACCATTGTGTTCGAAACTTACCACGCTTTCAGCGACTCGGTTTCGAAGTAAGCTGAAGAAAAAAATTATATTTGATTATGATTTTATGACCTCGTAAAAAAACGTAACCTTAGTTCTACAATGATTAAAGTTTGTAAGAGTCCAGCTAGTGAATTACTTTCCTTTTCCAGTTTTGGGGGTATTTAACCGTCTATTTAGCTAAAACGAAAATATCAGATCCAAAATCTATTGCACTTGAACTTGATATGGTTTACTTAGAGGCCGGTAGGGAGCGTTTTTCCTCCTATCAGTCAAGCTCAGGTCAATCGCCCACGAGTGGCAAAAGAAGTTGGCACGCTTTCCCAAAGGAGGAGATTGACAACCCTCCACTTAACATAAGTAAACGAAATCCTCTGATTCATGTCTAATAGCTTAGTGGAAAGTTCACCCTCTCCCGGCAAACAATGTTGCATCACCAAGCGACATCAAAATGAGGGAGAGGGGGAGATAAATGAGAGTTATAAATAAAATTTAAAAAGCAGAAGAGCGTGCCAAGACATTTACCACTCGTTGTAGTATTGCAGCTAGTTAATAGAGCATTTTACAATTTTGTAGACTGATTTGAGTTTTAAATGAAATGAGTTTGGGCATATAATCTCAATGTTGTTCTTACATAACAGTGGATATAAAAGAACGGTTACGTATAGTTACCAGAAATGTTGCTTCTGTTGCTCATTCCCTTCTCTCGGTTGTGAATTTTTTTAAATCAGCAATGTATCCCCCTTTTCATCGTTTTTTCTATACAAATCCTTTTATTTCTACTGTTGTACAATGATGATATAATACAGTTGTACCGAGAGCTACTTGTAGTAGAAATCTTATTTAAATTCTAAAGCCCTTGTCAGAAGACTTCCCCCCTTCCCAATGCCACGACAACATTGACATGGGTGGGAATTATTAAGGATTTGACCAGTTGATTAGCCAAAAAAGAAGGGTATCACAATTTACTATTTTGCCTTGCTTAAGAGTTAGCATGGGGTATTTGGCTCTCTTCCCTGCCCTAAACTTGTCAATTAGTATGGAAGATCCAAGTCAAATAGTTTCTTGAAAGCTCTTTTCGTTCTATTAGTAATACATATTTGCTTTAGATGATAATAACTTCCACTTGTAATTTGATATTTTATTGAAAGAGGAACCTAAACTTAATAAGCTAGAAAGAGTTTTTTTTTTTCCTTAGGGTTTTGGAAAAATATTATGTTGGAGACCTAATCTCAGATGAATTTCCCACTTTTCCTGAGCGGGGGTAAGTTTTTAACTTAACCAACAGTTAGGGTGAGCATGTTTTCTTATTAATTTAAGTTTAAAATGAGGTGATACTTGTGCAAAAATGTTTTTCACCATTTTTGTTGCTCTGTTTTCCAGGCCCTTTTACCAAACTGTGAGGGAGCGTGTCAAAAACTACTTCAAGGAGACAAATCAGGTACAGTTCACTGTGTCTTGAATTAATCAAGATAGAAAGAAATTAAACTTGTTTTGAAAGTTTAAATAAAGACATATGTTGTCTATTTATTTGTTCATAATGGTATCATCATTTCAGTAAAGCAGGCTTCAGACACTTAATATTATTAAAGAAATTGAAGTAACTCCAAACATCAGCAGGCAAGGGCATTTTGAAAATGTTTCGACCTCCCAATACCTTCAATTATATTCACTCTTATAAACAGATAGCAGTGACTCAAGCCTGGTTACAGAAAACTTTGAAACATAAAACTAGCAAAATCCAGGCAAGATAAATGCTTTTGGTAAGGTCAAATTGGGTGTGAATTCAATATTGCACCAAAATTGGAATTTTTTTTTCTCAAAACCATGGTCAATTCTCAATACTTAATTGATAGGATCCCAAGTTCTCAGGGTGGATGTGGTTACGTTACATTGGAATTCCAGCTGTTTTACTTCTTATGTGGAGTGCGCAGGTTAGTTAAATTTTGAACACTAATGACAGTAGTATTCAATAAACCCCTTATTTCCTTAGGAGGAATTGCTTATTTAAAAATTGAGCTGTCAGTATTTTTCTCTTTTTTCACAAATGACAATCATGGTCATGATTTTTTTAATTACTATTATGTGAATGGGAATACTTCTCTGCCTTCCCCCAGTGTTCCCTTACCCACTCTACCCCTGTTTCCTAGAGAAAACTGTCATTCTTGCATTCCTTCTCATGTCATATTCCTTTGTGGCTTTATAATGTGGGAGCAGAGTCTTATTCCTCATTTATCAATTTAAAACCTGTGCTTACTTGTCTATAAATAATTTACCAGTCAACTCAAACACAAACAGTTGAAATATATAGTGTGGAATCTTATTGTCTCATAAGGATGATAAATAGGAAAAAAATTAGTACAGACACAGCCAATCAACTAATTAGCAGACTACAAGACTCACTATTATTGCATTCTCAAGCAAGCTGGTGTATATGAATTTTATTACTTTTACCAGATGTTCTGGCTGTCCCACAACTTTTTCTTGTCATGCATTGCTGCTGCTTTCATGGGATGGATGTGTGCTTTGATTGGATTGGTGAATAACCATGACTCGAGGTAATCTTTTGGACCTGTTATATTAAGTTCACACAACACATTTTCATTCAGTTTCGCTAAGAATTCAATAATTTCCAGTTACTGGTATATTCTTTTGAGAAGAAGAGGAAGGCTGTAAGAGTAACATGCCTCACTCGCAAATGATAACACACAATTAGTACCACTTGCAAGAGTAATCAATTCTGATAGGGGGTTAGTTTCCAAAAAACTGTGACACTTTCAATGAAGGGTATTACAGAATAATTTGGTTTTGTCAACAGAGTTGATGATGTAAGTTGGCCATTGTTGAGAGTTTCTATAGTTGGGGTTTTGAGCATGACGCCTTCCTCATTCACTCCGACAAAGGACTAACACTCAAAACATCAGCTTTAAAATTTCCATATCAATCCTTACATTATCACCACATTTGATAAAACAAATCACTGAACAGCTGTTGACAAACCATTTACAGACTATTGTTGTTTCATTAGTTGCAGTGAACATGTCTTCTTGTATTTGTAAGAACATTTAGGGTGTTAAAATTAATTAAAGTATTTTAAAACTATTTGTGCATCTGATAATTGGGTAGTGACCGCAATACTGAAAAAATGGTGTAGACTCAAAATCTTTGCATTTTCAAAAGGTTGTTGAGTGAATTGATAAATAATTGTTTTGAAACTTTTAGTCACTGTGCTGTGACCAGTCACCCCACACTCTGGAGACTTGTTGGTCACGTTCATGACTTTTTAAATGGAGCATCATTCTATATTTGGATTTATCAGGTCAGATTTGATATATTACGTATTTGCCTCACATTATAAAAAAAATATATTGCATCTGTGACTTTTTCCATTCTTTATTGAGAACTCCAATCTACAAGATCTCTTGTACATGTGTACTATAATTTATTTACTAAAACTGACTGGCTATGAACCTATTTTCAGCATGTTTTTGGTCATCACCCATACACTAACATTGATGGTATGGATCCTGATATTGTTACCTCTGAGGATGTAAGTTTGAGAACTGAAATTAATATATTGAAGTGAATATGAATGGGTACTATAGCAAATGGATTTTGAAGAAAAATGCTTTTTGGGCATGAAACAACTGAAAAATTCTGACCATGAAACCTTTAGGAATTGAACTTTAGACCTGTAGGCATCACAGCATGTCAACTCAGAGGTCTCTCTTTGCTCCACTCTTGTGACGTATAGTGTGCTGGACTCTGGGTGGAGAGGTCAGGGTCCAAGACCTGGCAGGGTCAATGTGTTGTGTTCTTTGTCAAAGCACTGTACTCTCACAGTGCCTCTCTCCACTCAGGAGTATTAATGGGCATAGGTAAATTGTTGGGGAAGCCTGATGAAATTCTGGGGGGTGGGGGGGGGGAGGAGTGGTGACCTTGTGATGGACTCTCATCCCATTCAGGGGAGAGTAATGATACTGCTGGTCGCTTCATACCAAGCTTCATACCAACTGGGATAAGTTTCAGCTGGGGGCCACTTGGCTTGAGTGCAGACTTCATACTCGTGAAGTGACAAGAGAACATGTTTACGCATTTTATTACCATGCTCAAAATTTACTATCTTACTGATTCTGGTGTGCACTCTAGTGACTTTCACATGTGCTCTTAAAGTAACATAGTTGTTTTATTTATTAAAGTCTGCTTATTTAAGTCTGACTAAAGTCTGATTAATGGAAGCTGCATTTTGTTTCATGTTGTTTGTCAGGAAGCAGATATAAGACGGATTAAATGGACTCAAAAGTGGGTACCTCGTTACGTGTATCAACATGTCTATGTGCCTCTTGTTTACTGTTTGGTAAGTTTTGGAGCACAAAATGCTAACTCTTGCCGCTTATAACTAAATATTTTTTTACACGAATAAATTAGTTTTACAAGATGTTTAAAAAGGATTTCCTTCCCTGTGAAAAGTCGTAAATCCACACGTGTACAATTCCAGTAATTTTTTTTACGTGTGATTGATATCGCCAATCAGCTGCTGACACGTCACTTGCCTTTCGCGCCACTGTCAGGTTGGCAAATGAATGGCAAAGCCTTCCTTATCAGTTAAGGGCAATGGTGTTTTTTTTTTTATCACGAACATAGTGTTGACCTCGATATCTCACGATTGAGCACAGTGAATGAATGAGATGTCGAGTTGAACATTCGAAGAGAAGTTCCATGTCTACGCGCGTTCCTATGCTATTCTCTATTTTCTCTTCACTAAATTTTTCTAACGAGACTAAATTGTGTCAATTTCCCTTATGAAAAGAAATAGAGCTTCTCGTGTCATCATGTATGAGACGTGTGTCTGATTTCGTTGTTAATTCGCTTCCACAGCTAGGTCTCAAAACTAGGATTCAGGATGTTACTATATTATTCTTCATAAAGAAAAACGGTGAGATTCAGGATAATTATTATCTACTGGTTTTAAACTTGATTGCTATATCTGGCCACATTTTGCTCTTGAATTTGTGTATTCACCCTTCAAATTAATTGCTTTACTCAGTTGATTCAACATAGCATATGCACTTTATATTATGTGATGATGAAGTGGCGTCGTTTTTATGTGACGGTACAGGACTGATGTCTCTAGAAGTCCTCTCTCTAGTTTTAGCTGCTGTTCCCTCAACTGGTTAATCGAGAGCACTTTGCGATTGATATTTAGTTTTGCATCTGATTTTTTGTAAAGCGGTCGTTAGGGGCCCACCGAAAACACAGACACAGTACTGTGCATTGAGTACTTAACTCCGCTATAGCTTCAAAATGCTACATTCAGTTGACCACAACTTCGGGCTTTGGGTCATTTTAATGACATTTCTTTAACGGCATGTAACAAATTTATTTTCATGTTTGCTTGCTAGGTGTTATTCGAATAAATCCTCCATCCAGTTCACAGTTAACTGTATTTATTAGTGGCAAGCTGTTCTTCCTTCTGTACAGAGTGGTCATTCCTTGTTTTTTGCTCTCAATTTGGAAAGTGGTAAGTTCGATACACCATTAGCTTTATTTGATAACCCCCTTCTGTTTGCTAATTTGTTATAATTGACTGTAAAGCCATACCAATCATTTTTTAAAGAGGCGCGTTTCATCGCAATGTTTTTGATCGATTGTCGAAGAACTAATAGCGAATTAACCACAACGACCAATCGCAATAGCGATAAAAATCACGTGCAACCAATGAGACCATGAAGCGCGGGAAAACGAAAGTCATCAAGTAATCGTACCAATTTTTGTTTGTGAGCAATTACAGCGCGTAGTAAAGCAGAGCTGACCTATTACAAATCACGAACTTCTATCCCGTAATTCGTTATGCGCTGTTGCCGCTCGCCCGGAGACCTCTGGTACGAGCAGGCAAAATTATAATTGATTCCGATTTGAGATGATCACAAATTACTACAGATTTTGATTCATTTACTTCCGTAGTGTATTGTGCACTCTCCCCTGAAATCAGTGTTGAGTGGTACACAATCAAGCTTACCATCAACTTAACTAGTAGATTTCATGTTGCCATGGGTCTGTTCAGTAATAGATCACCGATGACGTCAAAATTTGGTAAGAACAAGGCGCAGCTGCCAGTGTCACTGATGTTCTTACCACATTTTGACCTCTTCTGTGATTTGTTCCTGTACAGACCCACGGACACATGAAATCAACTCAGACATGGTTTGATGCTTCTCTGGTTTAAAGATTTAATGAATGTAACCGAGAAGTTACAATTCATAGACCCAGCGTTTCGACACTCCTGTCTAGTGCCTTCATCAGGAGTGATCTAAGCGCTGCAACAAGAGGTCTTTTCATATGCTCACTAATTAGCTGCCTTTCTTTTTTGACGAGGTGTTAATTTAGCTCTTGGTCAGCTCGTTTTAAATGATAGTTCAACCAAGTGTTGTTAATAATGAAGTCATCTATGCCTCTTTCCTCCAATTTATCATGACCAAGAACCAATCAAAATGAGTGTGCAGTTCAGCTTACCCTATCAAAATTGTTTTTACAGATCGTGCTTTTTATTATCGCGGACATGGTTTCAAGCTATTGGTTAGCGCTGACGTTTCAAGCATCCCACGTAGTGAGCGAGGTAGATGGAGTGGACTTTTGAGTTCGTAGACAGTGGAATCAACAGCAACATTTCTTCAACAAAGCAAAGTGGACTAACCCTTAATGCACCAAGTTTAAATGTACTTGCAAGTCTGATTGCATGTTAAGGCTGGGTTTCTATCGTCTTTAAGATACTTGAATCGTCATTTTTTTCTTCTATCGTCTAAAAGATACTTGAATTGTCATTTTTTTGGCATCGATGTCCAGAAAATGCCATCAAAGGCATTATCTAACATTGTCTAAGCGGAAGATGACTGAGCTAAGGCGTAGGAAGGCAATACGGTTGTAGTTGCTGGTTGTCATTTTCACTTGCCCAGTCGTGTGGTATTTCGTGTTTTTCAGGTTGTTTACATATCTTTGTACCTCGATATCTTGCAGGTGGATTGGGTCGAGCCAGGAAAGGATGGGAAAATGACCGAAGACTGGTAAGGTTGCCAAAATTTTCCTTGATTTTATTCCTGTTGTAGGGGAGTCACGTAATGTTTTAACTGAACTTTAAAAGGAAACAGACAAACAACAATTTACTCCCTCATTTTTGAACTTAACACAGCCGTCTTAAAATAACGAGCAGCGGTTCAGTAATGTTTGTCACAAGTGGCGGCCGATGCTGGAATTGTTGGCTATGACCACGAAACGGCATAGAAGTCTTGGGAATGAAGTTTTGATAGAGGGTGGTGAAGAATGTTTTAAGCGGTTGTTGACCGCCGTTAACCAATTCTGTCCGTTTTTAGACACATTTGCCTCCGATTCAAACTGTACGCTGTTTATTCCATGTAAAGCAGAATGTCCCTGTGTAAGCTATATGATGTGTTTTCTCTTGTACCTGGCGCCATACAATGATTCGACAATGCCGTACTATTTCGGAATCACTGGTGCATACTGAAAGGTTACAGAAATGGTTTGCTATTAAGAGAGTAAAAACGAAAAAGGTCAAAACTGAAATTAGGACCATCTAGTTTTGCACACCATCTATGCGTGCATCTTATCATCTCAGGATCCAATTTGTTGCTAGATATGTTTTTTTAAAAATGTTATTTAATTTTCCTGCAGGGCTGAGCTCCAGATACAGACAACCCAAGACTATGCAACTGACAGCTGGTTTTTCAACGTGTTTACAGGTTTGGAAGCATTTCTTAGATATCTTATCTTAAAACATTTCGAAAAGGCATTGCGCTTTTAATACTCGTTTGTTTGAAATCAAATTCGTTGAGTACGCAACTCAAATTTGCTTAGCATTCGCACCCTCTTTTTATTCAACACTTTAACTCCCATGAGTGACCAAGACAGAATTTCTCCTCACAATATCAATACAATATCAAGCAGACAAATGATGAGAATAAAGGAAAATGTTAACGAGGGGATTATTAGTTGATCCAATACCAAATTCTCTTAACTAACATCACAAGAACTATATGGCAGACAGTTAGGAGAGTAACTAATGAGATCTTGGGAGTTGAAGGGTTAATGTTCCAAAGCCTTATGCAGTTTCTATCTACCAATGTAGAGGGAAAAAGGAAAAAGTGCAATGTCCCAGTGTACCGTCTTTTACGTGCAACTTGTAAACTGGTGATGAAGTAGAATTCTATCGTAATTTTTAATTTGGATGCGTTACTGAATATTAAAAGAAGCACATGAACAGGTTATTCTTGATGGTGTATTTACCCATCTTTGCAGGAGCCTTAAACCATCAGACGACACACCACCTGTTCCCAGGCGTCAGTCAGATATACTATCCTCAGATTACTCCCATTGTCCGTAAAACGTGTAAGGAGTTTGGAGTGAGGTACAATTACAAGGAGACATTCTTCCAAGCGCTTGGGTCGCATATCAACCATCTCAAGACATTGGGGCAGGAAAGAGAAAAACCAACATTTGCTTGCTCAAGGAATGACTGATTTTGATGACTAGCTCTCGGAAGAACGTTTAATGTTTCTTGGAATCCCTAGAAGTTTCAAGAGCTGTTCTGTTGTCTTTGCTTTCACCGAGTTCGTCTTATAGGGAAGTTGTGGCCGTCCTTTCCATAAAGGCCTTTTTGCTCAAGCCTAACATTCCTTTCTATTTTATCGTTAAAGCCGGTTACCGTCGTAGAATTGTTGAACGGAACTTCGTGAGATTCATCGATGTTGAATTTATCACGTGGAGATCAACCCAGGGGTTGGTCTCCAGGTGGGGCAGGTGAAGCTAGTCATCAACAATACTCCGATAAGGAAGTATCCATGGTAACCCTGTCAGCGGTTACCATCAAATCAAAGTTTCACTGGACCAGTTTGTTATGGTGTCAGAAGAATCTCTAGCACTCCTTGTACAGTTGACGCTTTCTTTATTTCCTCTCTTAAAGACTCAATATAACGTACTAGCTCGAGGACTAACTTTACCCTCTCTAGGAAAGTGATGGCCTCTAGCTTATAAAGGTGGGAGTTATCTAGCTGTCAATATTTGACCAACGTTACTGTTTCTCACTTAGTTAGCGAATCATGTTGAGTTACGTAAAACAGTTTACGCATACTAAGTATGTACCTGCTGTTTGTTGATTCTTTCCAAAACGTCTTTTGACCTAAAATTCCATACTTTTGCGGATTGGCCAAAACAAAAACAAGATTGATAATAAGAATATTATGACTGACCTATTGTACAGATTAGAATTACACTTAAAAGGATGACTAAAGAGAAAATAGCCCTTGAAGTTTGTTACATAACAGCGATTAACAGAGAATTTGAGGAAGAAAGGGCGAACCCAAGGTACCGCCCCCAAAAGAACCACTTGTCGTTCATATGAGTTACTGATTATAAACTCAGCGTGGAAGATGAAAAGTACGGGTTGTTTACACTCTAAGTCATCTTACAGAAAGAGTTGTTGAACGTGCTAAATTCAAAATTAAGAATTATTTTCTTGATTGGGAGTTCGACATGAAATTAATCTAAAAACGAGCCTGAAAAGAATTGAAAGAAAAAGAAGGAGGAATTACCAGGAAATTCCAGTACGAGATTAACTTTTACCCGATCAAATTACTCTCATATTCATCAAGCGGATTATCATAATTGAATTAAATCTTATTGCAAGATGATTTAAATATTTTACCGCAAGTTCCAATTACCGTAGAAACTGAACATCTACTTTCATGTCAAACTCGCGATAAGAGAAAATGCGATAATCGCCAACGGCCTGATACAATCATTGTGGAGTTAAATGGACTATTTTCTCCCGGAAAGAAAAGATAACAACTACTCTACTTACAAAGTAAGATCTCCATCGAAATAGGAAATTATCAACTGCCTACAATATTTTTTTAACTGAATGTCTTATGCTAATATGCTATTTGCACTCATATTCCCAACACCAAGACACGGTTTTGAAAACTTCCTTAGTAAACTAAAGGGGTAAACGGATTAGTTAAAAAAAGTCTCTTTATCACTAGGTTGTGGATGCTGTATTTAGCACTGAATATGTTGTAGATACTTAACTTCTAGGGAATAACGGTATTTTATCTGTATGTGTGTGTGAGTTGTCAAAAATTAGATCATTGTCGTGTGATTGACGAGTGTCGTTTATAAAGTGTTTCATTTCTTTTTTTTACACACCTTGCGGTGCTTAAAAACAGAGATTCTGGGTATTCAAATCTTCTATACATTCATCTTTTTCCATTATCAGAATTAAACTGAAGCGTAGTGATTTAAAGGTCTGTGATACCCTTGTCCTTGCAGTGTCCATTGCGAAACTTTTCATCTAAACCGTACGAGTGACTTAGTAGCCGTGGATGGAAACATTTCGGCGTTTAACCTTCCAAAGTTTCTTCTTCTGTTTTATTTTTATGGTTTACTAAAAACTTCAGCGAAGTCTTAACACTCGCGTGAGTGTGTTTCACTTCTACCTCAATCAAGAGATCTTTCAGAAGAAGGACCTTTAGTCGATTTCGTAGAAAATTTACGCATAATTTCTGAAGTTGTGTTAAGGTATATAAGATATTTCTATTCCCCCAACCAAGAATGCGATCTTGATTTAAACCTTTTATTTTTTTGATCAAAAAGTAAAGTACATCACTCTGAGTCACTTCAATTTGCGAGAGCTTCCATAAAGATTGGCACTGAAATCCTTTCAGAATTGTATGATGTCATTCTACATTCGTTTGATCGCCATAATCGCGGGAGAGATCAAATAGAATTAAGAATCACTTAAAGAGATCCTGCAGATTCATATTTAGAAGAATTAGAAGATTTCGTATTTCGTAATGAACATTATTCCCGACAATGTATAGAGGGTTGTAGATGTCGAAAGAGATTTAAAAAGAAACCATTCTCAGAGGAATACCCAAAGAAATTCCTATGGAGATCCTTCGGATTGTGTAAGATCACTGTCCCATGGATCAACAATCGTAAACTTGACATTTACGTTGTCATCAAATCACTGCCTAGACATAGACAATTTATAGAGGGTTTATATTTGTATCACGCCGGAACTCTCTTTCAGTTTGCGTTTCATTCAGGATTTCTTCTTCTTTCTTTGGTATTTCATGGGTAGTTTTCAATAGGGGTTTCCATGTGAAATTCGGATTCGAACGAGCCGATAACCCAAAGGAGATCATGCAAATTTTGCACTTTTCACACACTCGTAATGATTCTTTTTAGATTATTTGTGTACATTGGAGTGGAGCACGAGACGCCATTTTATCCTGTTTGGAAAGCATGCAAGCCTTTCTTTTAGAAAATTGGCATGCTGGTGTCAGATACATTCTCATTGAATTTGAGGGTATTTTATTTATTCCACCAAATGTGCTCAGTAATTCTGAAGAAGAACGAACCAGATTGTCTATTTTACAAACTGTGTAAGTGAATCTTTCTATCCACCCATATTATCAGTGTTTGCGTAAAGAGAATATGAATGAGATGGGTTGAAAGTGTACACGTTATTAGTACTTATTCTGTGATGGTTCGGTTTGTTAATCTTATTTATCTTGCACGAGCTGAATTTTTATAAGAGATAACTAACAATGGCGCGATGACGTCCCATTTAGGGTAATTAGGGGTTTTAAAAAGAAAAAGCTGTTTTGTGCGGCTCATTCTTGTGTGATGTCTGTTTCCTCACTTTCGGTGGCATCATTTCCGCTCGTGTCATCTCCAGTGACGTCACTTCCACTCCTTACCATGGTTAGTTGGTAAATCATGATTTTTTTCAAGTTTTGGGGGTGTCCATTTACGCCTTGTGATTAGTCAACATGAGTCACGTGGTACAAAATACTGCTCTGTGATTGGCTAGGACCCATACCACCAAAATATACTTGTGGAGCGGTATCAATTGTTTAGGTCAGCTGAGTAGAGTCCCTCCTACCTAAACAGATCAACGATTAGGCAGTCAATCGATTGGCGGACGCATTTTGCACTGTTCAACGTTCTTGCGGGAATATGTCGGGAAAGAGGCAGTTTACTTGGCAAGAGCTTGCCAGTTTGAATCTGGAACATAATGCACACATCGCAATTAACGGGAAGGTAAGAAAAGCATCGCGAGGTCCTTATTATGTAATTTCGCTTAAACTTCAATTACATGCATGCAGTATTCCATGATTGACGAGGGACACTGATTTTTTGCTGCTGTAGTACATCCCCAAAATGGGATTCGGAAATCATTTTCGGTCAAAATGGAAGTATTGCAGTTGGATGTTTGCAAAGTTCTTTCTAAAGCACTAACTGTCGAACGAGTTTTGACCATCATATCTGAATATATCTTTGCTATGTAATATCGCTTAAACTTCAATTATGTGCACGCAGTATTTCATGATTAACGAGGGACACTGTTTTTTTGCTGCTGCAGTACATCCCCAAAATGGGGTTCGGAAATCATTTTCGGTCAAAATGGACGTATTGCAGTTGGATGTTTGCAAAGTTCTTTCTAAAGCACTAACTGTCGAACGAGTTTTGACCATCATATCTGAATATTTAACACACTTTATGGTTGATTGAATTCAAAGCTCATACGTGTATGCATCATGGACTTCATTAGGGCCAGTCACCGGCACCCTACCGCCGTCTCTAAAACGTCCTATCGCCGTCAGTTTAACCTGGAGGCAGGCTTTCGTGTTTAGGTTTCGTCTTAGGTCCCCTTCCGCGGCACGACCGCGTGTTACACCATCATCAGCCGAAGTTGTTGAAGCCCCGGTGAATATCGATCACCCGCATTAAATCAAGCATTTGTATGTCCGCAAGCTAATGAACCATCACGATATTTGCTAATGTTTCGCTGGACCCAGACTACCGATGAAGAATGGACTTGTTCAAGCAAACAAACAACAGATAATAAAAGATGTAGTTGAATTTGCTGTACAGGCGAAGTGTTTCGTTGAGACATCATACAATCAGTGCAATCAAGAACTGCTTTTGAAAGCTGTATTGTATTTCCTAATCACTGCCTTTGTAGCTGTACAATATGCAAATAACAACAAATGTGACGGGAAAACAGGGAATGAGGTGAACGCATGCGTAGACACGTTAAATAATAGGCCGCAGTGAGAGAAAATACACGCCGGCTGCCCCACTTTGACTCTCGAAATGCCTCAGAAATGCCATATAAACACCTGATGAAATTACGGATGAACGTATTTAAACATATTGCTTATGCACAATCCACTAGGAACGTCGCATTCTTGTTCGTGGTCGCTGTTATGGTCACGATCTCTGTATGAAAAGACCTTTTAAGAGTGACTTACTACATTACTCTGATCTGGAAAGGGAATTGGACTTCAGCGGGGAAAAGGAAATTGAGTAGGTCATGAAATAGATGTTTCAAGATAACTCAAAAAGCTTCCATGAAAAGCGGAATGGAGTCATCTTGCTTATTTTACATGTACGCCTGGCAATTCAAATGATAATTTTTTATGCTCAAAAATGCTTTGTTAATGATTAGGAACAGCTCGTTCCTCACTGCATTTTTGGGTCTGCTGACTCGCTGACCCTAAGAAGGTAAACTTTTAGCCTAAAGGCAAGATGTACTGCACACATCCAAATCACGCAAAATTATAGGTTTGATTGAATTCTCGTTTCTTATCTTCTTCCTAAGGTTTATGATGTGAGTAAATTCCTTGCTCGTCACCCTGGTGGTAAAGATGTCTTGTGTATGGCTGCAGGAAAGGACGTTACCATTGTTTTTCAGTCATATCATGCCTTCAGCGACGTTCCAACAAAGTAAGCTGTAGTGTTATAGTTAAAATAAATACATCTAGTAAGCTGGACTGTCTTCAAGGAGATGCAACTGAATCTCGGAGTTTCCTGCTTTAGGAAACATTTGTCACAAAGCAGCTAAGCTTGCTGTAGTGTTCAAATAAAGTTAATTATCATGTCATCTCCTATTTTCAGGAAGGAGTATTTCTTAAAGTATATCACAAATATTCGCTCTTGCTGTGGCTAGTCCCAGCTTATACCTTCGTACAAAAATCGTGGGGATGCTGTGACTGTACCTTTCAGCCTCAAACACAGATTTTTCTCTCACTTGGGGCACTCAAGACTGAGCTCCCATTATTATTCTTACAATGACATTTTAAGCCTTGCAAGCGGAGACATTAAATGATTACTTAAAATTTACTTGTTTTGTTAGTTCATCGTACAGGGTCAACTATGCTCCATCCACAACCAGATTGGTTTAAATCTTCGAGTGGCTTTCTCTTACTTTTTGTAGCCCCCTCTTATCTTACACAGCGAAATGCGTGGTCCATTATGCTTCACTGCTTCACATTCCTGTGGTTTATATGTACCACTCTCAAGTAAGCCAGAAAAAGCCTATGAAAGAGTATGTCGAAGAGATTCTGCAATGTCCAAACAAAGCTTCGGCAACAGGTCGCGAACAAAGTCAATTAACCGCGTAATGTAGACGGAGTGTAACATCTGTAAAATGATGTGGCGACCTGGGCGAGGCTTTTATGTCAGAGAAACACTAGTCTTGCGCCGTGACGCAAGTTTTTCCTTATCTAGCAATCTAATATAGGGCTGCTATTAACTGGCATCTCATTGTGATTACCCTGTGTTTTTTCCCCCAGAATGCTAGAGAAGTTCTATGTTGGTGATTTGGTTTCCGCGCAGTATCCTACTTTCCCAGAACCTGGGTAAGTAAAGGTTCTACCACAGTTAAGGAAAATATGTACCTCTAAGAAAAGAAAGAGCAAACAAAATAACACAAAAATTGATGGTGATAAAACTTTAAACTTTATGAGGAGGGGGGCACCCGGTATGTCAATGGCCACAGATGTTCTTTGTGTCTTTTTTTTGACAGGGCTTTTTACAACACAGTGAGAGAAAGAGTACGGAAACATTTCGAGGACACAAAACAGGTAAAAATGCAGTTGCGAAAACTTTATATCGAAGTAAATGTTGTCAACATAAAAATTGTCAAAGAGGAAATTTGTGCTGCATCAAGACAATCCATTGCTCTAAAATTATTGCTCTCTGCAGCCCTCTGAGAGCCCTGTGACAGCCCTGTGACAGTTCTTTTCAGAGGAACCTTGAAGTCTTTTTGGCCTGGTATATTTAACCCACTATCTCAACCGAGAAGATTTATCTTACTGTAAAGTTTCAAAAAAAGTGAACAGCTGGGAATATTGTGGAAGAGCTATGTAAGATGAGTCCTGATCATGATGTTGGTAGCAATTCAGTACTTAAAAAGACAGTCCTCGAACTCGTTTTTGAGTTATAGGCTCA